TGAAAATTGTTTCGTGCTTCCATGAGCGAACCTCCACGTCTCGTGCGCCTCTGCCATATATTTTTTTTACCCCTTATTTCCCGAGTTGTTAAAATAGCGTAGAAGAGCCAAGCATCCAGCCCGACTGTTGAGTTACTTACTTCCTGCCTGGCTAGGCTACTCTGCGTTGACAAGTCCGACTTCCCGGAGCGGCGCCGCCATTTAAGAGCTTTTCGGTGTTCGGCGTCGACGCTCTCCGCGCGGACGCAGAAAAATGGTGACGACGGTCGAACCCGTGCGCGTCCGGACGTTCTCCGACGCCGTGCTCGTGCTTCACGCCTAGTGCTTCTGGCAAGAGCGTTCTCTGCCGCTCCCCTCGTATAGGAACGCGAAATACGGCGCATACCTTATGCATCTGCAGCGCTGCTTGTGATCCCTGATTTGTCGTATACATGCCTTCAACCATCAATAAGCCAGGAGCGACAGATGGTGTCTTATCAAACATCAAAAGATTCATTCACCTATTCACACAGTTCCGTTTGACTACGCTTGATTACATTACGACGCCGAGATATTCGCACTTCGTATGTCGCGCGCAAAGCTACTCCTTGAGTTGGTGGCCATGCGACGCACGACGCACGCATTCCCCGCGGTCACTCAGTCGCGGTCTCGACGCAAGTCCTTCCAAGCTAGTCACGCGGAGTCAAACACTACTGTGTAAATAGGCCTTCAGAAAAGGGCTCCTTGTACTTTCTATCCCGTCAGGCGCCATCTGGAGTGATCCCATCCTCATCGCCAATTGTTATGAGGTAATATGAAAGGAATAAATCGGGGGGGGGGGGGGGGGGGGGGGAGTTCAATGCTGTTCCTGGCGCACGCTTGAGAGCGCACAAGGCGCACGTGCAGAGCACGTCTTTTATTTGTACGCGCTGTATAGGCAAACACGATGCTATCTTTCATCTAGCCATCGTAACAATGAATTTTTCCCTACATAACCTTCTATCTTGAGAAAAGCGAGTCTCTTCTATGATGCCACTATACAAAGACGCTGTCAGCCTTCTAACTTGTCGAAGGACTAGCACGTCATCGAGAGTGCACTAAGGCAAATTAATTAGTTTTATTAGTAATCTAATACGCTCCATGCTCCATGGTAAAATTTAAAAAAAAGTGACCATTTGGACTGAAACCATTTGCCAGCACAAACACGTGGCAGACCTTGTCCCGCCATTTTTCTTCCTGTGGACAGCGGCAGCCAAATTTGAGCCCCATTTCTTGCCGGCCGCTCCTCGTGAAATAATGTTTCTGTTTTTGAATGACGCCAAAGGCGCACGTTGTATAATTCTCGCTGCAGGCTCGCTGCTCCTGTACACTCATGTAACTTTCTTAGATTTTAGTTTGTTTGCTCTCCGTTTCTTTTTCTTTTTTTGTAATTTCCGTTTTATATCACCTCATCGCTCTCCCCTAGGCAACTGAAACAAGTCCTTCAGGTTTACCCTTTTGTTTTTTCGTCCCATTTTCCTCCTTCCCCAATGTAGTAATTGATAGGTCAAGGAACGAAGAGCGCGGTTTATTATGTTCAAGCGTCTTACATCGTTATTCGTTCTGCGGCGTCCTTTTCGACAGATGCCTCAACCACATCGCCCTGGGAACAAAAATAAGATGCTCAAGACATGCCACGCCCTCCGTTTCTTAAGGTTTCAGTGACTGCAGTGTGTACTTTCTTGTGTAACACATGCGCAGAGACTGTTGCAGTTCATGTAAAGCGCGTAGCAATGACCCAGGCTTTTGGGTACCCCAAATGAAATCCGCGCGTAAGCTTGCCGTCCTTACGGCTTTCAAAGGTACAACAGAAATAATCGCCCGTACAGTAAGTACGATATTTTCCATTCGCATCAAAATTGTCCTAAAAATATATTGTCTGATTCAGAATGATCACTGAGCAGCTATTTTTTAGTCATTCCTTATGAGGAATTTGTGCAGAGCGCCTCATTTTACTTATTAAAGAAAAAAACAACACACACAGACACACACACACACACATACACACACATATATATATATATATATATTTCCAAGGCGTTTTCACAACAAACTTCGGTGAAAATAAGTATACCGTCCCACCCCACTTCGTAAATCTTCACGCAGTGTACATTAGACGATCCCGACAGCGAGCCAACTGCAACGACTCGCCGCCCGCGCGTACCCCACACGCGAAAGCGGGCATTCGGCGACAACGGCAGGCATTCGGCGACAACGGTGAGCGGTCGCAATTTCCTGTTCAGCAGTCAGCGTACAATGACGCGACGTCCACTATATTCCGTTCAGCCATAACCTGAAGGTCCGGTGGAAGCTACATGCACGTTGAACCAATCATAGACCTATCGTTCATCACGTGATCACGTTCCCGCCCATACCCACACGCAGAGAGCGGAGCCAGGTGATGAAAAGAAGGCGGGTGATTGGTCAGGACAGTAAGTAGCCTCCTATGCACTGTCAGCTTAGGGTTGAGCGGAGTGTCGGGCGTCCGGCGTGTCCAGCGAGCGCGAGAGAATTGGGCAGCTTCCCAAGCACGCGCCGACCTCCAAGCACGCGCCGCCTCGCGCGGCCTCTAGAGACCCGGGGGAGAGAGGGAAGCCTCGCTTCATTAGGCCTATCGTTCGGCGGCGGCGTCGTCGGTCGATGACTGCCTCCGGTCATTTAACCGACTGCTGTTACCAAACCGGAACAAAAATTAAGCGGGGCCCATTAGGGAGATATGTGTCGCTGAAATGGACCCGCAGCGGCAGTCGGCTTCTATCCGTTCGCGTCCATTCCCTTTCGAAACATAGACACGAATAGTTCAAAACGTACCACAGGTGCGTGCAGCTGAACGATGCCACTGAATCCATTCTGGGTCTAACTCCGGCTGAAGTCGGGGAGTTTGAGCGCGTCCTAGCGTATGGTTTTAGGGATTGGTTCTTGCGGAGTGTCAGCGGCCGAGAAGGGATCTCCTTTTCAGAGAGTAGTGCCAAGACCGCTCCTGTGGAACACACTGCTCTCGAAGCGCGTACCACGGACCGGCGAATGCTTTCGTCCATGAGCACGAAACAACGGGTTCGGAGGCGCCCGAAACAAAAGAGTGGCACCGACGGAATATTCCGGCTCCATGAGTTTCGCCGCGCGGCTGTGCCAACGTCAACAAACGCGGGCACGAAGGCAGCATGCAGTTCGGACGGCTGCACCTCAGGCCCGTTGCCAAGCCCGCGTCGAGTCGCACGGAGGGCGCCGCAATGCGAGTATGCGGGGTTCCTACGCTTCGCTTGGCGGCAAACGCGTGACGACGCTCACGGCGACGGTGTAAAGACGACCCGGAAACAGGCATTCTTTACTCGCGCGGTGTCCTGCGCACGGTGTGCGCAATAATGGATCACCGGGGAAAGTTGCGCGCGTGCTCTCCAACTTGGGAGTCACTGTAGCAATCCTAAACAATATGCCGACTTACTTCTTTCATGTGTTCACGTTGGTGTGTGTTCCCGATCAGTGTCTCGGCTCATGCGTTTTTCCGTTCCTTGGTATTAATCTTCTTCCTATCATTTAGAAAAGAACTCGTATGCCAAAATGTACAAACTCGAATTCCCAAGTTTCTTCTAACTGTGAATAAATTAAATTACGAAGTTACTTTGGGTATTCTTACTTGCAGAATAAGAACGCCTGGCCTGCCAGCACGCGCATTATTATAATTATTATCATGTATTCCGCCGTGCTTTGGCTGTCGATAACTATAGATGTACCAAAACCGGAATAAATCTATGTTCTAAATTTGCAAAGCAAAAACAAGGGGGAAAGTATATTAGCCTACATTTCAAGTTACGATACCATGTAAGGCTCTGTCGTGATCTGAAAATTATTCGCATTCCTTTTATCAAAAAATTAGGAATGTTCAATGTTTTGTTCCACCGTGTATCTGAAATAATGCATTTCAGATAACATCAGTCCGACGCAGAAGAAAAAGCCAGATATTCTTTCAACGTTTACGACGCCCTGAGGCGCAGTTAAATAAATTAATCATAGACAATAATTTTAATTGCGATACAAATTCCGCGATATTTTAATATCAGGTATTAAGGCGTAAACCAAAGTTTTACCTAACGAAAGTTTTCAGGTACACAAGAAGTCACTGTCTCAAGAGTGCACATTGGTAGACCCTATTAGTCGATTATTTAATTTTATAATTATTTTCCTCGTATGATCGGGCCATTTAAATATATCGTGTAGTTTTTGAGAGGGGGGTTCTTCAAACTGTACATCTACAGCGTTGAGCATTTCCTCCAACCTTTTCCTCGTTAAGTTTTACATATTCCTCGGTGAATAATTATGCGCATTGCATCGCGTTGAATGTATGACCCTTTAATGGACCTTTAACATTTGCAAAAGTTTGGGACAAGATGCAGCTCCCGGGCCGCAAAGTGAAACTTCAGGTCGGACCCCACCCTTAAGCCGCTTTCAGAACACACTGTCTGGGGCGTGTTTCTTCCTCATAGGATGGCGGTCATACATCGGTCACGCATTGGTCATACATTGGTCATGCATTAGTCATACATTGGTCATACATCGGTCATACAACAACTGTCTGGAAACAATGTTCGAAGCATACATGTGTGTTAAGCAAACATGCTACCAACATTTTTGAGGCGTGTCCGCAGGCATTCCGTCGTCATGTTTCCAGCGAAAAGCGTACCTTTTCTAAGATAAAATCGGTCTGTTTAGCGGTGTTTATAGCCTCACCTTAGAAAACAATCTCGTAATTCTGATGTCGGTTTTGACCACTGTACACATCTGGCTTAATATAATAAGGGTCCCGTCCGTTGTAGCCACGACTCGAACGACTATAGTGCTAGCGTTCCTACAGCGAGATCATTCTTTCAAGAAGCGCGCTGGCCTTTCGAACTTCGCGCGATGCATCCAAAAAAATCTTTTGGAGTAGCGTTTATGTCCACGACGTCGGTCTCCGTTGTCAAATGACTCTTCGTTCCTCCGCACAGGCGTGACACCCGATGCCCGAGCCGCATGGACCCCGACGGAGCGAATCCACCGAGAGAGCCGGCTCCTGTACACCGGCCCTGTTCCCTCACGTTGCAGTTCAGTCGTGATCCAGACGACCGCGATGACCGACCGTCTCCGAGCAGCCAGTTGGCCGTGGACCAAGGAATTCTCCTCGAAGCGCCGTCCGAGTACGCCTGTTCCGACGACGATGAGCGGCGTCTCGCCCGTGGCGCGCTGCGCACCCCCGAGAGCGACGCCGCGTCTGCCACGGAGTCCCATTCGATGTCGGCGCCGGTGGACATTTCGATTCGAGCGAAGAGCAGCGTGCTCGAGTGTGAAAAGGACTTTATGGACTTCCTGCTCTCGTTGCCTCCCGATCGCGGGCCCGAGATCAAGTCGCTGGAGAGGACTAGGAGACACAGCAGGGCGGACAAGGTGAGCTTCGAGCGGGTCTTTCCTCGTGGACAGGTCGGTGATCGACCCTTGATTGCGGTCACCTTATTAACGACTCTGTTCAAAAACATGAAATGCTTTTAAATGGGACCCGCTGATCCTTAAACGTTGTTTGTCTATCCGTCTGTCATTTCCCCACTAAGTTTAGAGGGGGAATTGACGTCACGTGACCTGACATCGCAGGACCTACACATAAATGCAGTTTCGCCGTTGAATTTAGCGTGGAAACTGACGTCACGTCATCTGAACGCTAATTCAATTTGAGAAAAATTCGCTGCCAACTTTTATTCAAGAGGTGAGACATACTTAACCTTTCAATATAGTTTCAACGCAAACACGCAGACATGCCATTGCACTCAAAACGAAGTCCACTTGACGTGCTCGCACTGAAAGATAGAAGCTAAAAATATGTAAGCTACTCAAAATGCAGAGATAAACTAGTCTTCTAAGAATAGACTCAATCTGAATACAGCCGCGAGAGGCAATCTCGAACTATGAGACGTCTCTAAAGGTGTTGGGATTTAAGTTGGAGGCGATAAAGGCAGCGAGATCGCCGACAGCGGCTGCAGTGGCCAGCACCAAAGTCAAGTGCGGCGCTTGCCACTCGTGACAGACGGTGATGTCGACGACTTTCTCGCCGTGTGCCCAACTTAGAGCCTCTTGTATGAGTTAAGGCCGGTTCAGACACTTGCGTTTGAGTGCGTTTGACTGCGTTGCGTCAAGAACCGAAAGCGAGTCACCGGCACATCTGTGCTTCGTATGGAGCGTGGAATCCAATTCAAGGAATATCTTGGCACGCGTTATAAGCAGCAAGGATGTCCTGGCTTCTCGCAGCCGCAACGCAGTCAAACGCAGTCAAACGCAACTGTCTGAACTAGGTTTTAGCGTGATGACTTCTAAGATCTCGATATATAAATAACGCAGTTTCTTCCACTACTCCGTCATTCGTTTTGTACCAGACTTATACAATGCTCTCAAAGAATTCGGCGCGAGCGCGTAACTTTCACAAGCCTTCATTTGCACGAGGGTGCGTACAGCTGACGTCTTATATAAACAAAGCCACGTGCTAGTGCCAGTAGCTTTGGCAGTGCTATACGCACTGTAGAAAATGGAATATAGACTCCTTAGCTTTCGTGAGTTATGTGAGGTTTCAGGATCACAACAAAGTTCGTGTTATATCTCGGGAGCTGTTATTTTGTTTTGTGAGCTTGGAAAAGGGGGAAGGGGGGTGCTATGAACTAAAGAGACCACGAATACGGCCCCTCGACTCAATGGAGGTATTGTTAGGACTGCAATCACTACGAGTTTTACGTAATTGCAGGTTAAGATTTCATTTAATGACTTGTTTCAAAACATAGACGAATTTAAAAATAGCTTACGTTACCCCTCGACGTGCCGTTTTCTCACTAGCTATTTCTACCTGTGCCCAGGGGAAGCCTAAAGTTGGTCTGGACCACTTGGACAACCTGTGCAAGCTGATGGAGCAACTAGGAGATCTCAAAGAACAAAACAGCAAACTTCAGCGGCGTGTACAGTATCTGGAAGACATGAAGGATCTTCACGAAGTTCACAAGCGTATCCTTTGCACCGAGTCTCCACCTGAAGAATTCCGGGCTCCACAGAGGACACCCAGTCCCGCAGTGGTGACCACATCAACGGCCGACGCCGACAGCACCTTGAGAAAGAGCAGGACCCACGGTCATCTCCACGCGACCATCCGAAGGTCCAGAGAACGAAGCAAGTCTGTCGGGAACCACGACGACTACGATGATCCCAAGAGCTACAAAAATAAGCGCTTTCCAAACTGGTCCAAGGTGAAGGAGGCACTGGGCTGGGAGCGTTCCACGGCGGACTACGAAGGGGCAGTCCGAAAGGACGGACGAATAATCTCCTGTCCGCGTCAGGACGGCGAGCTGAGGCTGCGTAAAGAGGAACTCAGAGCTAGTGTCTGGGAACCGGCGGTGGGCTACCCGCAATCCCGTTCTTGGACTGAGGATTCCTGTTTCCAAGGCAGGCCCTCTTCCATTCCATTGAAGCAAGGTGACTGCATTCTGCCTCTGTTCCGACCACTTTATTGTATCTTGCCTCACAGTCAGCACGGGTGCTTTGAAATTGCTGTGCCAGTGAAGCTTTTTCAACCACAGCTCTGCGTTGGCGTGCAGGCTGCCTTTCACGTAGCGATTGCTCACCGCAGACGTTCTTTGGTGGCAACAGGGACGTTTGTACGGCTGACCAGGACGTGTAGAGCTATCCCCTCCTTTTGTATGACCTTGCACAATTTGAATCATCTTCTTGCGGCATGCGGTTGGCATTTCCAAATATGTCAACATTGATTTCGTAATGCTCCAAAATGTTTCAAGCATTTTCCGGTGGGTGCCGTCGCCTACGCGGAAAATATCCATTCCACGAGGAACATGCCGTGCTCCTTATATCCAGCTTCCCTATCTATCTCCTCCCCCCCTGTGGTATTCCTTTTCTCTTCTCTCTTCACTCGTTTTAGCTGGAACTGACAGGCTTTCATCTAAAGCGTTGACAATAATCTTCTATGCCTTTTAATTTTTATATTTCTTCAAAGCCAAAAGCAACGACCCCGAGAAAGATTGTCAAGCGCTACTTATGTTGACCTCAGAAAGCCGTAAAAACGAAAAGCGAATGTACAGATGGCGTGTACCTTGTGACACCGTAAGGTATACGTCAGATTTAAAGAGTGATCGGCCCAATGGCACCGTTAGAAGCGTTGTTTGCATCAAATGTGACATCCTGCCAAGTCTGTGTCATGAAGGAAAGCGAGAAGTCTAGTAAATGTTATGCTGAGATCACCTAATCCCCAAGGATGCCGTAATGTGTCCGCGTCTGTATTGGGGCAGTGACAGCGGACCACTTTTTGTTGCTACGGTTGATTTTTTTTTTTTTTAAATTTGATTTGTAGGTACGGGTTAGAGCGTCTCCCGGCTAGACCTTTGCCCTTTGGCCATGGCATTTGGTCTTTATATTTTTCTTGAGATTTTTCCCGCGTCTGGCACAATCCCAAGAATGACAACATAAAACTGAAACGCTGTCAAACCTACTGAAGCAGGTGCGATGCTTCTCCTAAATTAGCTCGTGGATTTGGCTTTGGAACGCTTTTTCGTTTGGATTCCTATACCTACGTCTATGCACATTCAAGCGCAGTCTAACATTTTCTGCTCTAATGGCGTGTTTATAGTTGCGGATCCGCGGGCGGATCCGCTCAGGCAGAAAGTGGATTTTGGAGCCGGGTATCAAAATCGACTCGTCGCTCGCCGAGAATCTGGATCAGTCCGGGGTCCATATCCAGATTTTCCGCCAGCGACGAGTCGATTTTGCCACCCGGCTCCAAAATCCACTTTCTGCCTGCGCGGGCTCACCCACGAATCCGCACGTGTAAACGCGCCATAAAGGCGCGAGCGTGGAGTGCTTTTGGATCGCTTCAAATCCACCAGCGGATATCAAGATGGGCTCTCGCCAGGTGCGTTGGTATTATTTTACACTATGTATGTAAGGAAATTTAGGAAAGAAAAGAAAGTCCTGCATATTTGCCCACGCAACACCCACAAGCAGCAGCCTGCCGAAGAGGGATTTCCTTGCATCTGTTATAGTCCCTCTTATCTCAACCTGGACTTTAGAGAAAACCATTGTGTCGCTTTTTTAGTTGTTTCTGACTCACGGTCGTTCATGAAGACAAGGCGCGTTCTAAAGCAAGACGTACGTATTGATAGTCTCTGCTTCAGTCCACGGTGAGTTGAAGCGGGGTATTGAGGCGGTCAGAACTTGAGAACAAAATCCAGAAGAGCATTTTCTTGAATAAAATAGAGTTATACTATAATATAGTCTTTTGCTCTGATCGTGCAGCCGGAGGATGGACAACCTCCAGCGGTTCCAAAAAGACCACGCTAAGGCTTGTAGACCCAACACGGCGCAAATCGTCGCCGACTTCACCCATTGCCGCCAGGGAGGCGGCCAGAGAAGAAGCATTTGCAGATTGGAAATGTGAGCTCTTACAAAGAAACAGTCTCGGGCAATTAAATCTCCGAAATAAAGTTTGATCACGCCGCTCAAACACCAAATAACAATATGTTGTATACCTTTCGCAGATCCTGACCTACTGGACCGAGAAATGTACGAGTCTTACGAACGGTACTACACCAAAGAAGACTCGAAAAAGGTTCCGAAAAGCGCCTGGGGTCGCGTGAAGACTCTTATCCAGACAGGTCGAGAGACCGTCAGAAAGCAACACCAGCCTCGAAGCGCGAAACCTGGCTCCAAAGGCGACGTCAGGATCGAGTCTGATCCGGCCAGTGGTGCCGCGCCCAGTGACCCCGAAGACAGCGCAACGTCACGAAGTCGGAATACTTCCAGAATGCGCAAGATCTCAGACCCGTACGGCTGCTCGCCAAGGAATTCAAAGACGTCCGAAGACCTCCAGCTATTTCCCAAGGAGAGACCGCAGATACCAAGCGGCTGCTCCCCTCCAGAGGTCGACGGCGTCCGTAGAACCAGGCCGGAACCAGCGGTCTCAGCCCAAGTAGAATCGGAAGAGTCAAAATGCGCTTTTTCGGACAAAAACGAAGCTACCTCGCCACAGTTTCAGAGAAAGTCTCGGTGGAACCGCGTCAAGAAGGTCTTCTCCACTGCCCTCCAGGAGAAGAAAGAGGGAGACTCAGAGCCTTCCAGCCCAACATCCACCGCCGTTGTCTTCGACTTCGAAGACGTGCTTCCATTCGAAGGTGAGTCACTGGCGGGCTTCCCGTATACATTGTAGAAAAGGCGTGTTGTGCACGTCTGTTGGTCTCTTATGCCCTAGTTCCAGTTGAGTGACAAACAGCAACAACCAACACTGATCAACCTATAGGGAGTATTCACTGGACGCCATATTTGAGGGTGCTGTTTAGAGCGCATGCTCAGGACCAGCTCACATCAATACGCGGCTAAGTCCGGCACTTTTGATAGTGCGGAACGCACGTTGCAAAAGAACTGTAGAAGCTCGCCATCAGCACGCGCTCAGCAGTAGCGCACAAAGCTATGGCCGCCAGTGAATACTCCCTATAAGGCACATCGAGCACGCACGCGAAGGTATCTTGGGGCTCGTGAACTTAACACTATTTGCAAGCCTGTCAAAACAGCCTGTACGCAAAGCCTGCACGGGAGTCGGTGTCTGCTGTTGCTGTTTCTGCGCAAGTGGTACTAGCGCATTAGTGTTTAAAAAAACAAAAACAGAGACAGACTATAATCACTCTCAGTTAACGGGATAACCCTCTGAGGCTATGCAGTCAGAGCTATACGTGCTTCTGTGCAGTCCCGCATCCTGAGCGTCGATCAAAGCTTTGCACGCTCTCTTCACTTCTTCAGAAATACTGGTAGAAAAACCATACTAAAAAATGCAAAAAGAATATTGAGGACTTTTGTTGCACGGCAACTGAGATCAATAGCGATTCCACAGAAATTTCTTGAGGAACAACCCAGTTACAATTGGGATCTACACCTTTACGCTCCGGAGCCCGAAACTGAACCTTAAACGCAAGGAGGCAGTTCAAGCATGGGGGTTTCTAAACATATGCCAATTGGCACCTAGGCACCTATAGCCTAATAAAGCGCACCGATATAGGACAGCCATATACCACAGGAAATGGCTTTCATTCGTCGTAATGTCTTGCTCTTCATTATCGATATAATGGACGACTTGAAAGTATGCCCGCACCTCGCATTTCCCAAACTATCGGCAATTGAATACCTAAGTTTCATTTATCAAAGCATGACGATCAAAATCAATGTTGGAAATAAAACATCAGCTACAGAGCGCCCCAATGGCGTAGGTCATTGCCGCAGTCATCGAATCTGGTTTCGAATTTAGCTGCCTAAAGACATCACGGCCTTACGATTGGACGGTGCGCTGCAGGAAGCGTTGACCAATGACCAGTCACGGCTGTGCAGTTCTTGTTCATTGGTGTCGAAATGGCAGATAGATAGAAAAAAAAAAGAGAAACCTAGAGAGAGAGAGACCCAATCGATCGCGCGTTAGGTCAGTGGTTACCCGGTTCCAATCGGCGAAGACTTCAATAAATCTACTTGCATGCTTCCCGCTTCACAAGCTTTTCTCGTTGAGCCTCTCCATGACCGAACACCGGGTTGGCGTCGTGCATCTTCTTGGGCGTCCCGCACGTAGACCGAGCTGGGGCCGGCACTGACCGAGCGTTTTCGCGGAGTCTCGCCCCGCGGAGGCCATCCATCACGCATGTACCTCCGCCTGAGGAGGGCAGGAAAGCGAACGAAACACATTTCTTTACTGTCGGCGGAAGAAATTGACGCTCCGAGATGCGGGACGTGTGATGCGACGGTCCTCCCGTTGTGGTTCCGTTCAATTTTCCGCTATACCTATCTCGAGAGGTAACCGAGACACGACCACGCTTGTGCGTGCATATAGATCCCTTTATGTGTGCACGCGCGTGTGTGTTTGTATGAAAGGAAAGTTATCGCACGGGAACAGTGGGCAGGACATTTGTGTACACAATTCCAGAGGCTTGGAGGTTCTTGAACTCGCGTATTCGTTCCTCCTCCCCCTCGCCCGCACCAAAAAAGACGCGGTGGAAACGGAAGTCGGGGAGAGAGGAAGAGAGACCGAAGCGCAGGGTTCTCGGTGGGTAGCCCGGGCCCTGGGAAAATAAATGAGGAATTCCTGGGAGACGTTTACTCTCGGAGAATCTGTTTATTTTTTATTATTATTCCCGAGTTACCATTGCTTTGTGTTTCGCGCCGCTCTCCAAATTGCTTGTTGCTTCTTTCATGCTGGGTTAGCTAAAAATATCTATTCGACAAGCGAGACATATTACTTGAAAGGTATAACAGCGCGAACTAGTGACTTCCGGAATCGTTTTGTTTTTATTTATCTTTATTTTCCAGATGATATTCAATTAAAGCACCGTGAAGGAATCGTAGACAGACAGAGAGGTGAGTCAGACGTTGAATCAAGACCTGATTTAAGTCCCTGCATGCTCACGAAATACGTTTGAGACCGTACACTACGCAAGGTCACTTTGTTATTTTTCCAAACAAACATTTACACTCTAGGCAGTGCACTTAGCTAAGAAACTGATAATTGGCTCATCCCGAGCTGCAATGCAAGTTTGTGCACAACAGCAGGTACTGGTGGCTCTAGTGATTTGTATAATGCTTCACTGAGGAAGACCAGGCTGAAGGTGGTCCTCTCGGAAGGGGCCATGTCTCAGCCTGGCAAAGGGGAGAAGGGGAAGATGGCACAAAAGGGCAGAAAATAATAGAAGACAAATAATGTTCAAGGCATTGTGACGTTCAGAGTTCGCTGACATACAGTTTCAATCTAATGTAGTCTATGGGATTACTTTCGCAGATAATGGTCAGAAAACCCGCTAAGACCTGTCGTACTTTACCTGGAGGTCTCGTATAGCTACCGTGGCTCATAATGTTATGTTGGGGTCATAAGACAGCAGACAGAGCAGCAACAGGTATTCCAGAGTGTCTGACGAGATAAGCTTCACGGTCCATGCCCGTGTTTCTCTTTCCAAGAGGCGAAGAGTGGCACGGGCGTGGACGAGATTCGTTCAAAGCTGGCGTAGCAAGGCGCAGTCAGATAAGAAGTGGGATATAGGCGCGGCAGGTCATCCCACGCTAACGTCGGGATCTGGGTATCGCATTCGAATGATTGCTCTGATCAGACGTCCAGGTTGCACGGGCCTCAGGCGGAAGGCTAGCTGTTGGTGAGTCATCACCGTGCGCTTTTCGCCGCAAGAACGTCAGCGCGTCCATTCCCCTTGATCCGACAGTGTGCAGGAATACACTACAGGATAAGTTTTCTCAGGGCTGTCCTTCCACTCTTATAACATCAAAAGGCAGCGATTGTTGCTATGATACAGTCGCTATCTTAGTAAAAAAAAAGAATTAGCACAAGCTGTTTTATGTGAATCCCTCACATGGTGATGAATGAAGTTCCGCCGCTATTGATATTGAACAGTAGTTTAAGAAGTCACAAAGGGAGACCTCGTGTCCTGGAGTATGAAAGGCTATCCACGTCTCAGCGTCCAATCAGCTAGCTGTTAAAATGCTAAAAGTGATTAGCGTGTTTTTCTTCGAGAGATCTTCACCTCTCAGCTGTGTCATGTGCTACTGCTGGGGGAATAGTATTTAATCACTTTCCCTTATCACATAGGATGGAAAAATTATGTTAGGATTTCCTCACGGTAAAATGGACGAGGTGAGTAATATACTGCATAAAGTTACAGTTTCATAGCTCAAGCCTATAAAAGCAAGTCAACAACTCATTCCAGTGACAGTTTTGCGTATATTTCCGCAAACGTACTTCCGAAAGTGATGAGAAAAAAAATTAACTCACTAGTCCTTGTTGCACGAATGGTCCCATCCACTTACGTTGTTACGAAACTTGCATTGCATATTTACGCTTTTCAATCCCGAAAGACGTATAATGAGGAACACAAACCTACTTATACATATGATACAGCACAAGTGAAATAGTTTTTGACCAGCGAAGTGCGCTAATATTACTTTCTCCCTGTTCTTTGTCTGCTCCTGGCGAAACCCGACAGTTGACAGCATGGCTCTAAGCTCCGACTTTCAAGTCAGCGAGGGTGAGCTGAGTGCCCCTCCTCTCTCACATTCGGCGTCCACGCCCGCGGCAAGCTTGATGCTCGAGCTTCAGCGAAACCTGAGCGAAGACTTCAGCCAGAAGATGATCGAATGGGAGCGCATAAAGGCGGCCAAGGTGAGCCCCAATCTTCGTCGCTCCCAGCGGTCTGCCACAGCCAAGCCCCCCAGAGACAAGAGCAAGACGTCCGGACGAACTGACAAGAATCACAAGCAGAAGGACCTGAGCTGGTTGAACCGAGAACTGCAGAAGATGGAACGCGAAAAAGAACGACTTTCGAAGGAAACGCACAAGTTCCAGGAACGCTCCATCAGATTGCAGAGGCTTCGACACGCTCTTGTGAACGCTCCCGGTGCCAGAAACGAGGTCCTGGTACGTACATCGGCCGGAGAGTTCCGCTTCGAAGGAATTTCAGACGCCTTCACCAAAAAACTTTACGAATGGGAAACTAAGAAGGGTGTCGTTCCCGAGTTCTCCACAATCGCGCTACTGGATGCCAGCCTGCGGACCACCTCGTGTCCAGGAGAAAAGCTAAACCAATCTCACAGAGGTCTGTCCAGGTCTGAGTCGAGCATTGCTGAGCCAACCAATCTTCAACAGCAATCGCGAGCTTCTACTAGCTCTCTGCCCTCGATGAAGCTGGATACGCTGGTTATTCCTGAAGAAAAATCGGAGCTGGCTAGATCTCGTGCCAGTTCTGAGCCTGATCTATCAACCCACGTATCGACGTCTAAGGAAGCACCGGTAAGAGTCCGGACTGCCAGCGTGGGTTCCTCAGGAACCGGCTTCGCTCCCCCAGAAGTCACCTGGCTCATTGACAGCGGCTCTGGAGAGATGGACGAGCGCTCAGACCCAAAGCCGGCGGATGGTGGTGACGCCAAGCCAACGGAAGACGGCTACTATGGACTCCTGGAGGAGAACATGCTCTTGCTGGAGCAGCTCCGGGCAAAGGAGCACATCTGTGGACGGCTCGAGGTAGATCTGGAACGGCTCGACCAACGGCTCGAGCTCACGTCAACCAGACACAGGCAAGAAATAGGTAATCTGGCCATTCTAGTCGCAAAATATTTTCAAGCAGAAAGTTTCACTCTGAGATAAGGTAGAGTTAGTAGGATCTCACTTGTGTCCTTCCTACTGTGATATCTTATCATTTTATATCAGCACATATTGACCTGGTTTCTCAGATTCCGTTGGCAGGGGAAGGGGAAAATGCGGGGCAAAAAAAAAACGTAAGCCAATTGAGAGATGTAACGAAACGGAGAATACAGGTTTCACAACATATAAGCACAGGGGCGAGATATGCTAAGGCGACGAAGTCCCGCTTTGCTTTGGCATAACCTCCCTACCGGCCTTATAACGACATTTGCACACGTCTGTAATTTACTGAGAATCTTGTTCCTCCCCTTCGAATGTGTATTTATTTGGAGTGACATAAACAAACGAGCATGCAGTTCGCGTGGCACAGTACGGCATTGTCGAAGAGAGTATTCATTGATCATGTGCGTATCCGCAGAGCGCTACCGGGAGAGCTTGTGGAAGGCGCACCGGCCGGTGGCCTCGCAGTCGCAAGTGTCTTCTCTTCGGGCCCTGGCAGACTTCCGCGCCCGCCTAGAAGACTTGGAACGCTGCAACTTGCGGCTGCAAGAAGAACGCAGGGCGCTTCAGGTATATGTTGGATTCGGCATTCCCTTTTCTTCTTTCGCCCTGCGTAACGTACAGCCGTTTTCACATATCAACTGCCTTAGCATATGCAAATACTCTACTTCTGCCCTTCAAATAAAACAGAATTAAAATTAAAATAAGGTAGGGACGTTAGTCCTGTAAGGACTGCATGAAAAAATAAGACCCAAATTTACCGGCGATTTAGAACTGCTAGCTTGCACCTCGACGATATTTATCTTGACTGCTTATTTCAGTTGTAAATAAATAACATAGGTTTCGCAATAATTTTTTTTATTATTATTTTACTCTTGACGAATCACAATTTGACACATCTCAGCCGAAAAAGCTTTGGTGCGGCAACGGTTTTTTCCCTTCTTGCTTTCAAATTTGTTGTTTTGTTTTGTGTAGTTTCTTGGTGATAATTAAGGATGTTTTATATTAAACAAACCAGGGGCGAAATATATAATGAATATATTCTACCGACTGGTGATTACAACCCAAGAGGCTTCCATTTTTTGTGGTGGTCTGAAATGATACGACATATCAATATTCCGCTTTACTGCGTTTTTTTTTTTTTAGTTAGAAAACAATTTTTCCCATTTTTTTACGTTTGATTTCATAGTTTTTTTTAGAAAATTGCTTAAAAGAGTGTTTTAAAAACTACCAGAATAAAGATGTCATTCCCCATTTTGTTAAGCCGGGGTCACACTGCTTATACATCATACAAAAGACAGCCTGCATACAGATTCGAACGCTAGTCACCGCGAGATTCGTGCTTCGAATGCCGCATGGCAATGGGTTCAAGGAGGGGACTGGGCACGCGGCATTCGAACCACGGACATTGCGGTGACTCGTGTTTGCACGCTGTCTTTTGTATGGCGTATGAGCACGGGATATTTCCACGAATTAGACACTGCAAAAACGAAACACGCTCTGGCGTACACTAACAGCATAGTTGATAAAAAACAGCGAGTACAAAAGTTCTACAAAACACTCTAAAAACTACCTTCCCCGCTACAGGAAAGCATTCGCTGTCACAGCCAGGAGCAAGCAACCTTAATCTTGGACCTTATCGGGAAAATCAAAGAGCTTCAAACGATGAACCTCGACCTTCGCAGCACTGGATCTGAAGGTGAGGGCTTCAGCGACGCGCAACAGCCTTCAGGAACCGGGACACTATATCAGTCTAGAAGGCGAGAGTGATATCTGATTGTTGGAAAGAGAGCCGAGAAACCGTCTTAAAAAGAGCTTCCGACAAGATGGCTTCCGCAATTGTATGCGGGCGACGGTGTGAGTGGGCCTGTTCGTTGACAGTAGCGGTTTCACAGACGAGGCCCGCGCTTCTTTGAAACAATGGTGTCTCTGTTCTGCTCGGGACCCCAGGTTCCAGCATGCGAACCGTCTATTTCAGGCGCCCGCCAAAGGCCGTCTTTGATGCAGCTGGATGCGGATGGCCTGGCGCGAATTCAACAGCTCTCGGCGCAGCTCCTGCACTTGGTAGAGATCCGCCACTATTGCGCCTGGAATGCCTAGAATGCAATCCCTGCATAAACTCCCCCCCCCCCCTCCCCCAACCAAACTCCCCCCCCCCCCCCCTCCCCCAACCAACTCTCCTCCCTTCTTTATGAAACCTGCGTGGCCTGGAACGCTTTGTTACGCAAAAATCAACTCATTTTCGGGTTACACTATACTCTGTTTCGTCCTCTACTAACAAAGCTGTTGATATGAGCGGTGGTTTGATTGAGCGTCTGATTTGCACGAACAGAAACTTTCATAGCGTACAACAAGTATGAAACGAAATATGTATTCGCTTGTCACATATTCCGAGACCCTGCTGCGGGAAGCTCTGTCGATGCATGTCCCGGGTTCACAAACACGAGGCTAACGTTGCTCGATATCTTTAAGAACGCGTGTTACATCCCGAAGTTCTCCTTGGACAATTTAATAGACCGATCTCACTAAGCGTTCGGCGCATGCGTGACGCCGCCATAACTTTAGTTCACAGGAGGCAGACGGTCGTGCACGCGATGGATCGTGCCTTCTCGTGCTCTACATGTGCAGAGCTCCAGCGAGATTGTCGCACGTGCAAAAAGACTAAAGTTCCCTCGATGCATTGCGGCAGCGGTGGCGTAGTCAAATTGGATGGTGAGATCGTTCTATTCTACAATGCTGCACGCCAGATTCATTCCTGAGAAACTACATAACTGCATGTCCTTGCGAAGGGTAATGATTTTATAGTCGGGGCCAAATTTCTGCGGCATTTGAGAGGAGAGAATGAGCACGTGTACCTGGCTTTACTCGAGTTCGAGCACCTGCTCCCGTCTCTTTGACATGTACTGCCACAGAAAGCTGTCCCTGAGTATGGACACCCTAAACAAGTAAGCACTTCTTAAGGTCAATCTGAAAATACTGGAAAGCGTCGTGCGCAAAGCAACACCTACAAGCTGGCAAGTCTATAACTGATTAAAACTCATATATAATACTACAATGCTCACTATATTACTCAGTGTATAACTGATATAACGCTCAAATATTACGTGGAGAGCGTGGCGTGGTGTTGCTGGGAAGGACTACTGATACTATATATATCTAATAAAAAATACAGAAGAAAAATGCCGCGAGGTTCAAATATGGTCAAAAGCTATAAAGCAGTGTTCGAACTTGTCGTGTCGTATACGTTTTCCTTGTGTATGGACTGTGAATCGTTCGTGGCGATATTTTGATTTTTAGTTTGCTTCACTCCTCTATCGTCTGCACTAATATATGTCGATACTCAAGGCCTTGCACTGCAATGCACGTACCAAACGCAAAAAAACAACAAAAAAAGCTTTTTAGAATGGCGAATTGCTGGACGGCGAATGAAGTATCAGCGGAGCACGCTGCAGACGTTCTTGAATGCTAACAATGTGGCAGGTTTAGTATACCTGCTGGCTCTTCGTGAAATAATGCGTAAAACCAACACGTCATTATATTGTGTGTAACGAAAGAAAGGGGTGGAGAGAGGAGTTAATGAGTGTACTTGGAAGTTGGGGGCACGACAGGCGATGATGAACAGTATTCGATTTGCGCGCTTCGAACGTCTTAAAAGGGAGTTTGAGTAAATCGTTTTTTTTTGTTTTTTTTTTTACATTCCGATGACGATATTTGATACACCGGCACGTCTCCCATGCATCGTATACCATCACCAGGTATCCTTATCGGAGCGCAAGAACAATCTACTACAGTCACCGATAGCCTAAGAAACGCAGGGCATGGCATATCATGTTCACGCCTCTTGCTTCCTGATTGGCCCTTCGCCGTTCCCATCGGCAATTACCGCAGTCTGATTGACTGTAGGGCTATGGAACCACAATAAGATGCTCCCGACTCGCCATGGCCTGGCGTATCTATAGCTGTCAGTGACTGTAGTACGAAAACTCCCGAACATCTCGGGATAAGCCGCCTTAATTAAAGCGTAACGATTCAAATAGCTAAAAGTGGAGAGAAAAAAAGAAAAAAAACCTTAAACAATAAAATACCGTGTTTAGATATTTATTTAATCACAAGAAATAAAAAAATGTAACAAAAAGACCTGTCTGGTGACAGTTTATAGTATGTCCAAAAAATTAAAGACGTTTCCAATTTTCTGTAACCCCGAATTAGACCGCAGCTCTTGAGGAGGAGGAGAGGGTACGGAGGGGAGGGTATGCCCCTCTTCCTTCCCCGCTAAATTTATCGGGAAAAATTTTACCCTCGTGACATCACATGTGACGTCACGCGCGAAGTGATACCTGTCGTCACACGTGACATCACGGGGGTAAATTTAGCGGGAATATTTTTCCGCCAAATTTAGCGGAAAAATTTCTCCACTAAATTGGCAATGTTACATGCGTGTGACGTCACGTGACGTCCTACGTCACTTGCTTCCTATAATGACGTCACACGTGACGTCATTATAGGAAGCGTCCCATAATGCAGCACGCGGTTACGCCGACGGCGACGCCGCTCAAGCCGGAAACGGGCGCTTAACTCTAAGGAATGACGGAAGCAAACTGATCGACGTTCATCTCTAACGCCCGGGACCGGAAAGTTCTGACACATACACGTAAACACTACACCATGTATACCTCTGTGCCCTCGCTCCCCTTCTTAAGCTTTTTAAGGTCAGCATTGTTTTCATAAAATGAATGATATACACAAGCCAAAAGTTTAGATTTTGGTAACAGCAAATATTAAGTCAACAAAAGAGACCTGGGCAATATCTTGACCGCCCCTCCCTGGCCTAACCCATAAATACGCCCCTGCCGCACCGGTTCATTGCGTTTATACGACAACATACGAGTTTATACACCAATGCGTGTACGCTGCAGTGCTCAATGGACTTCCTTTACGAAACACGGTCAAGCAACACTGGTATCCGCCATGTTTTGGGGCTCCGCTTCCAGCACAAATCGTGTCTGAACGCTGACGCAATCCTCGTGTCCAATACGTGCTCGGGGTGCACGCCCGAAATATGGTCTTCCGATTAATGTTACGGCAGGCTACTATGCTTGGAGCGCACATTTGTAAAGAGTCCATAACGAGGGTTCGTTTTGTGCTCTTGCAGGTCCACCAACTGGAGGCGACTGTGGCAGAACGCGCCCGGCAGGTGTGCCAGCTCCGCGGTGAAATCCTGTTACGGGACCTCACCGCCGAGGGTTACGGGACCACGGGTCCAGGTGCATCTCGGCGTTTCTCCAGGACGATGCGATCCTCCAGCGACGGTCTCATCATCTTCGCAAACAGGCGGCCCACTCCGTGTTCGAACGGTGGAAGACATGGCGAAATACTGGTACACTAAATAACGCGGTGTACAGGGCGAAATCTGAAAGAAACCGAGGAAATATGTTCCCGAAAGTTCGTCTTTAAAGAAGGTGTGTCAGCGAAGCCTTAATGCGTGCTGAAAAGACCACCCTTTTTGCGTTCCGGTCCACTCCGGTCCGCTCCACTCCGCTCCGCTCCGCCCCGGTCCGCTCCGCTCGGATGTCGTTGGCACGTTGCACTGTCCAATGTTTGGAAGGCAGTAATTTTGATGGCCTCTTTTTTACATTAGGCGGTGCAATGTTTGGTTGCAGATGCGGAATTAAAACAAACTGAAAACGTTGTATTGTTTGATTCTGCTTTTCTTCAATTTTTCGAATTTTATAAGTTTTGAACTTCTTTCCAAAATCTTCCCTTTGTTGCAAGCTGTGAAATACATGGGCAGTTGCCGAGACGCAAAACATATGCATTCAAACTAAAGTTTCAACAGCACGGCTCATTTTCCGCGTTTGTTTGGATTAGAAGGCAATAACTCAACCTAAAAAAAAGTTATGACCGCAGTGACGCTGCGCTTTCGGAGATGGTTTGTTAGCTCGTCAGCTCCAAGCATTAGCTACGCTCTGACGTACTGTGAAAAACAGCCTAGAAACGCTGCCGATTCCATTTTATTACCATCTTATGTAATGACTTGCACGTTCCGCGGTGTCGGCTTTTCCGCCGTTGTGCAATGGTTCCGACCTTTTAACAGTCGGCATGTGACTGTTAAAAGGTGTCTATTCTGCTTCATTTAAACTAAGAATAGAAAAAGAAAACACGGTTTAAAAATATGGCAAAATTATTTATTTTATAATTTTGAGTGAATATCTAGCATTCATTAAAAATACTGCATTAGGAAGTTTTCTATAAAAACAAGCTGGATAGAAATGGGCCCTTTTTAATTAATGGAAGAAAAACGTATCGCATCATAATTGCTAAAAAGTTACTTGACCTTTTTTTTATAAAATGTGCTGGAAACCCGCTTAATAAGACGAATCAAGATTAATATATATATATATATATGGTTTCTTGCAAAGCCGTTCAGAAGTAAGCAGGCCATTGAATATATTAATGAAACCATATTAAAATATATATATATATTTCTCTTTTATCAGCACTATTAAAAGTTCGAGAAAAACAGTGTAGCTATCTGCAAAGCCATATTTTTGGTACGGCATTTATTGTATCTAGTATGGCATGATAATCTTGATATTGCAGTACCTGTACTATTCTCAGCTAACCCGCTCGAATATACAAAGTAATTTGTTATGCGGAGTAATTCCAACTAAGATGCAGTGACTACGTTGCAGGTTCCTGACTTCATAAATCAAATACCCACACTCTAAGAAATGCCTGCGCGTCTACTTACTCGCCAAACACTCGAAGAGCCAATTACTGATATCTACGTAATCAGCTTAGCAAATGATAAGGCGGAGCATCTGTTTAGAACTCAAAATTAAGTCTGCGTTCTGGCATTACGCAATGCAGGCATGACGTTTTAAATTGCGCAGTGCTACAGCGCAGACTTCATTTATAGGTCTAAACGGATGTTCCGCCCTAGCCGTCGCTGAACTGATTTCGTAAATCGCAAAGATGTGCTCTTCGAGTGTTTCGAAGGTAATTAGACGCGCAGGGATTTCTTAAAATGCTAAAGTTCCTTTTTTTTTTTTTTTTTTTTTTACAGTAGGAAAGACATGTTCATTATAGCTTAGCTCATGCCAATTCACAGCTTACGTAAGCAGTCGCGTAGTCATTTTGAGGCATTAAAACCTTCCTGCATTTTAAACATACAATGTCGAACGAGCTTTCCAGAAGAACAGTAATCACACTCAAAAAAATCTATGCGTCTACTTCCATGCACAACACTCCGAGAGCCAATCACCGCAACTTACGGAGGAAGCTCAGCGAATGAGGATTCCGAAACATACGTTCAGACCAAACGACGCTGACTGAGTTGTGACATTAAGCAATGCAAGCGTGACGTTTTGCATTGCTTAATGTCACAACTCAGACTGTGTTTTTTGGTCTAAACACATGTTTCGGCACTGTCATTCGCTGAGCTGCCTCCGTAAGTTGTGGTGATTGGCTCTCTGAGTGTTGTGTGGGAAAGCAGACGCACGGGCTTTTTTTTAAGAGTGCAAAGCGATGTATCATGTTCTCAAATCGCCACACTTTGCCACTGACAATAGAGGCTAAGTCTCGCCTTATTTCTCGCTCAGCCTCAAGACCGGATAGTCTCCGCCAAGGAGACGCGAGATGCGCCGGCCTCGTCCCCGTCTTCCCACAGCCAGTCAGCTCAGCTCATTGAGACAGTGCATAGCCTCCGGACGGAACTGCTCCGACTGTTCGCGTTCGACGGTAAGCAATGCCCCGGAACATGTTTTGTGAAGCTGGGTGTGGTGAGCGAAGTCCGACTAGTTCAGATGAAAACAACATTATGCGGAATGCACACTAAATAGTCTAGCGCAAAACCTTTACCATACTCGTTTTCACCTCAAGAAAAAAAAAAGGCAAGTTTTGCGCATAGTTCATACGCCGGGCGAAGTAGCTCTTACAAGATTTGGTTGTCGCAGGAAGAAGCGGTGCTTGTAGCGTTTGAAACGTGTTCGTCTTGATAATATAACACATAATCTACGATTTTCCACTCAGCGTAAAAGTGGAAATTGTTTATGCACCGCGAGGAGCTTGACTTTTTTTTACTGCGGTTCTTGATTTGAAAACGGGTATAGACATTCAATGTGCCCGTCGAATTACTTTGGTTTGATACCATCGTGCGCCATGAGGGGACAGCCACAGCCCTCGAAGCTTCTCATATAGAGAGACTATATAGACTACACATCTATTCTCATTTGAGCAATAGTAACGAAGAACATTGAATTCATCTTCGTAACGAGCATTAACGTTATGAATACGTCCAACACGGATGACTGCAACGCATGTTTGGAAATACCGCGTGTTCTAATTCGAGTTTGAGCTAGAGTCACGAGTGGATAGGGGCAGGTTGTTATACTTCAAATTGTCTGGTTTAATCTTCAATTCGGACGCTGCTCGAATATCTTCCAAGTATGTCACCCATAGAAAAGCGACGCGGTGTGCTTTTCGCGCATGGACTTGTGGTATCAACACGTGACACTGGCGAGGCATCGTGCCGTGGGTGGAGTTCCAGGGAGAACAGTAACACTATGCGTACTGGACATTTCGGACCTGTGTCGCATAAGCGGGATGTTGTCTGTGCAGGAACAGGAACGGACACCGGGGAAGGCGTCATTCGTCGGAGCTCGGCTGCAGACTCCATGACCGAGGTGGGTCGTCTTACAAAGCAGGGTGTACGACCTTGCATGTGTGCGATGGCCAGAAAATTTCGACGAAAGAAGAGAGTATTCCTTGGGTGAAGTCGCGGAACCAACGCAGACTGCAGTACAGCTCCGATAGGATGGAAGAATACCACTGGAGTTTGGACTCCCGAAGGCTCCTAACGCCACGTCACGGAGGTGTTCTTGCTTCGTATGAGTCAGTTTAAACCATTCTGCGGCTTCAACTTCATATTGTTGCACGCTGCCATTGCCGGGCAGCAGACAGGTGTCAGGAGGGTGCTGCGCGAGCGCACTGGTAACCAATCTTCCATCTCTTCTGAGCGGCACTGCAGCCCCGGTTACCTTCAGAACAGCTTGCGTCCCGGTGAAACGTTGTCCAGAACTTTGGGACAACGTGCTTGCCCTCGTTGTATTGAGGTGCAGCAAGCTTATTCTTCAATCATGACATCTGAAAAGGTGCCCATTCGGTGGAACACCGAAACGACTTTACTGCGAGGGCGCATAAGTCTGACCTCAGAGCGACTCCTGCGAAATCGACGACGTCAATAACAAGGATACAAAACTGTCAAAACCACTCGTTCTTTCTTCAGTACGCACGACCGCCTCAAATGTTCGCAGCGCCCGCAGATCTGTGCAAGCCACGAAAGCAGGTTCGAAAACACGTGCTCGAAATTGCCGATTGCCACGAGCAACCAAATAGACATGTCCATCAACAGCAGTTTTATGTGAAGTGCACCACTAATATACCCGATTATTTCTGAGCAATTTAAAATTCATTTTTCATTGCTATGTTACTTTGGTCTCCGAGTAATCAGGCAGCTTATTTGATCGCTTTTCCAGACATTAAACAAATAACTAATGGTATTCTTGAGGAGCACTTCGATCGCTATTCCATTCCAAATTCGAGAAATAACAATTATGTATGAGCTTAAAGAACAGGGCCCTCTAGTTCAGCCGTGATGTTCGCGTCGGTATATGAATTACCAGAAACTGTTCCGTAATGCCAAGCTATGTTAATAATTCTGTGTTTAACTGTTTAATTCGGCAGTTACCTAAGCAAATTGCATATCGAAAATAGCATTCAGTGGTTCTGAAAGCACACATGTAGTTTGTGACGGGCTAAGAATTCAGTAGAAGCTCCGTATACAGCACGTGCCCGTTGCCTTCCGCCAGGATTTGAATGCGCGTGCGACGAAGTGTTATCAAAGGTAGAAAGCTCGTGCTGGAAGCAGAACTCCTACGTAATTCTTAACGTGTCACCTAGAGCCACTAAATGAGCTGCGCTTCGAGCATCGGCACTCTGTTCCCCGACATTGTTGTGGGCGTGCCATTTTGGTGCTTGTCAGTGATCTCCCTACACACCCCCTAGAAAGGTTGTACACCCCCCCCCCCCCCCCCCCTTGCTTTTCTGAAGGCGCCCCCTTAATTTGCAACGACTCCTTTACTCTCAATTCCCTCCCTTATACGTCCAGGCATCGCCATGCCTTCAATATGTTTTTAAAACTCGGCGTTTTTCCCGTCATCTGGGAAAGGGTCATCAAGCACATTTCCAATCGCATACGACTTTATTCTTTACAGTCTCCAGACGCTGGCGGGGCTGAAGAACCCAGGCAGAGCTGCGGAGACGCTCGACGCTCGCTGGCATCGTCTTCGGAGAGTCCCTCCCGCAGATCGGCGCCAGAGGCCCTAGGCTTGGCATCGGGTCACGACGGCAGCGAAAGCTCCAGCATCAACGACAGTGAGCACGTGTCTTTCGCCGTGCGCCTTCCGCGCAAGAGTTGGGCGCGAACCAGGGACGCCATGTCCACCTCTTCTGACAGTTCCTACTTAGAGGACGATGCGTTTACCAGAGTTAGCTGGGCAAGGGCCTCGAAGGCCGAAGGCCCCGATCGGGACAAGAGCTGCTACGTCGAGTACGAAGACGACGTGTTCAACGCACCTTCTTCGGCTTCTAGCCTCGAAATGGTCTACTCGCGAGCACGACAAGAGTTGTACAACGATGCCACGGCGCAGGCGGACAGGACGCGAGTCCACAGCGAAATGGCCAAGCGAAGAGCTTTGTTGGAGGTGACGTCTTCCAAGACCTCCGAAAGTGGAGATACGGAACCGCCCAGTACTGAACCCTCGGCGACGGGTTGCAGCACGCAGACTCCCAACGATGATGATGAGGCACCAGCTGACTCAGGAGTGTCCGAACTCTTGGCGAAGAGGTCTAGCCCCGTCATCAGGTCCAGGACGTCGAGAAGACTAAAGAAAGATCGCTATGCCACGACGGAGCCTCCTCCTCCGTGGACGACTGCTTCAGAAGCTATATCAGCCGTTCTCAGGGACTCCTCGAGCCACTATTTCTGCCCTAGGAAACTGGACAGGGCGGTCGACGAGCCCACGAGTCCGACGACGGAGACTCCGGGCCCCGCGAAGTATTTCGCTTACATTCCACTCTCAGTGACGCCGCGCCCGGCGACCCTACAGAGGTTCGAGGCATTGCATCGCGCCAAGGAAGCGTTCGTCTCTGGAGAGAACCCCACTGCGGTGCTCAGCATTTCTCCGGATCGTCCACCAGCAGCTCACACCGATGACTGTCCAGCTAGACCGCCTGCTCCTGTCGGGGCTGGCTTCAAGGAGGAGGAAGACCTGGACAGCAAACGGCGCAAGTCTAAGCAAGAATGCGCTGAAAAGGGCTTCCTGTCACTGAGGCTACGCAGAGGCAAGAAAAAAGATTATTCGGCCGTCGGACAGCTCTGCCGGCAGACGCTGCCTGTCGTAGCCGTCGATGACCCCATGACCTCTGTCGCCGTGCTGCCGTCCACAAGTCCCAGATCACCATCGTCGCCCTCGTCGCCAGAGACACGAGCCCGGTCGCTTGGCAGGAGCAAGTGGCTGCCTCTTTTTGCAACCAAGTCATGAGGGACCGCCTTCCGGATGTCCCACAATAACCGAATAAAAAGCTCGCCGGTGAGCAACGCCATTGCTTGCGCATTCGCTGACCACGCGCGCTTGTCCCTCATGGTGCACAGCATCCTTCCATTGGCCATTTTCATTTTGCTGTCTCTAGTCCACCCCGACAACATAAAGCATTGCGCAAATTCTGCAAAGCCAGCATAAATAAAACGTGTTTCAACTCTAAGTACCAATCTGCGTTTCTGCCTTTTTTTTCTTTTTTTTTTTCGCTGAGTGCCCACCAAGGATTTTCAAGGCCGGCTTGCGCACGATGGGAGTTCCTTTCGAAGGTATTTGCCTGCCAGACGGACGTCTGTTCTAAAGATCGGAAATACCGGTTTGAAACATACACGTTCCAAGAAACACCAAAAGGTGGCCCTTTTAACTTTTAGTGCGTTGTCATTCTTATTTCATGCCGTCATTCATCTCTTGTTCAATTATCTGGGGTATGCGGATACATTTTTATATGTAGTGCGTGCTAACGGGCGGGGCAGGTGATCCTGTGTCAAGCGCTACCAAAGGCAAAGGTTCGAGAGGGTATCTCTATACAAAGGCTTTGTCCGCATGAAAGCTCGGAATTTCCAAAACAAGCGTTTGAGGTTTGGTAGGTTCGAGTGCCCAGAGGACATTTCTGCAAAATGCTCTGTCTGCATGATAGCTCATGCCAAACCCTGGACAAGCTCCACCCGCGAAATATTCACCCTTTCTACTTAGCAGAGCGAACGCCGAAAAGGAGGCGAGACGAGGCGAGGAGGGGTTCGCCTCCACTCCCGCCTTGACTCTGCCAAGGGGAAAAAATGGAGGGCTTCACAAGGGCGCCGCCATCTTGAGTTTCGTCACTTCCACTATGGGCAAAAACACTGCTTTTGCCGTCACCACGGGTAACCGTCACACAATCTTGTTTTGCCTGCTCTATTTTTTGTTTTTTTTCTATTTACAGAATGAAGTAGTTTATCTTTTTGTCGCCCATTCCGGATACGCCTATTAGACGGCTGGGGACGAGAGTGAACGAAAAAGGAACAAGTGCTCGCGCCCGTATCTATCGCAAGCTTTACAAACTTATCGTGCGCTGCGCTCCCAATAAGTAGGGCTCCGTGTTTTCGGAGTTTATTTTTCGTGAAATTCGGAGGGTGTTTTTCGGAGTTTATTTTTAGCGAAAATTCGGTGTTTATCGGAGTTTATTTTTCGTAAATCCCCAATTCTTCGAAATTCGGAGATTAATTTCGCAGTGTTTCTTATTAAAAATAATAAATAATAACCGGATGTAAACGTATGCCAGATAAGAAATAAAACGCGCTTGTATCAATTAAGATTTCTTCAGTTGAATTTGGCGTTGGTGTCATTGGCAATACTAATTTGTCCCACGACAAAAGTCGCACAAAAGTGTGGCTTCCATAAACGTCGATACCTTAAAATCAATAAATTGCCGGAGGCAGCCGCAAGGAAGCTCGTAGTCATCCCATCGATCTATCCCGCGGCCGCGCGAGGTGGAGTGCTTAAGGATGTAATAGAGAAGTTTCAACTGCCCCTCTTCCCTATTTTACACAATCTCTATGATCCATAGTTTTCACTGTTACCCCCAGAAACATACCCTCTCCTTTCTTTAAAACCCAAATCCCATGGCCTAAACTGGAAGCCAAAAGAGTGGCTTTAGTCGTGACACGAATGGTACGATGACCTGTTTCCCTGAACCAGCCTTGACGAGACAAGCCGTAAGACCCCCCTTTTGACAACGGTCCGATGCTTGAAAGATAATTATGGTGTTTTTTTCCCAGAACCATTGATCCTGCGCTGCTCAAACTGTACAAAAAAAAAAAAAAAACTTTTTTTTTTTTTTTTTTTTTGTTGTGGAAAAAAAAAAAAAAGGAAGGGGGGGGGGGGGTGCCATGGGGCACATAACAATTCGGAGTTTATCGGATAAATCCGAATTGACAAAAATTTTACCGGCGGGTATTTTTCAGATTTATCCGAAAACAAGGAGCCCTACCAATAAGGAGTATTCACTGGCGGCCATAGCTGTGTGCGCTACTGCTGGGCGCGTGCTGATGGCGAGCTTCCACAGTCCTTCTGCCACGTGCATTGCACACCAAGATTGGCGGTCTTAGCAACCTATTAATGCGAGCTCGTTCTGAGCATGCGCTACACAAGGCCACGCCACTGTGTAGGTGCACCAAATGACGCACGGTTCCCGGACATTTCATCGAACGCCGTTTCGTCGAACGCCGTTCATCGAAAAAATGGACGTTTCATCGAACGCCGTTTCATCGAACGCCGTTTCATCGAATCGCTGACGGCCGTTTCATCGAATGTATTTTAAATAAAAAGCGTGAAAGATGCTCTTTTATGCACGGATCGGGTGCATTTTCGTGTCATTCCCCCATTTCATCGTCAGGTTTTTTAATGTCCAAACTTGTAGCTGTTACAGTTTATTTTGATGCAAGTAACCCATAATGATATTTGTACCGATCTTTATGTTTGTTCCGCACATTCCGCTTATCTGTTCACCCCCTCTGTATTACCCGATGGGCCTTGAGGGAATTTTAACAAATAAATAAAAAGTCGCACTCCCGGTAAGAGCGCTCTCCAACTCATGGAGGCCAGAAGGCGACTTAGGTTTTGCGCAGGCGCAACAACTTCAGCCATGTGAGCCTCCTAGCCTCTCATGTCTTTCTATTGATACTTTTTTACTGCCCGAAGCTTGCAGTGCCTAAAGCTGAGGTGCTATTTAAAAAAACTACAACGAATTTTTTTTTTTTTTTTTTTTTTAGGACTCAATGAAGTCAAAAGTATGTACGACACTTCAAATTTCATTTGAAAACTTTCGGGGGTTCATGTGTTCGTGCGACAGCCATTCACAGTTTCAAATGATGAGCAATTGCTCTCAAAACGTTCCCCACAGCCATGCTCCGTCGGTTCTCATAAAAAAGGCGGACCTTCTCATTTCTTGCCGCTATGGTCATCATCTGGCGAAGAGGCTCTTGGGAACTCAGCATCGCGTCCAGCTTGTCTTCCGTCAGTTGACGTTCTGTGGCGATGCAAGTCAAAAACTTCCAGAAACCGGAATGGGCACCTCCGATCAGCTTTAGGAAGCGGGAATGCCACCCTGGCGTTCGATAAGACGGCGTTCGATAAGGCGGCATTCGATGAAACGGCTTCGATGAAACGGTGTTCGATGAAACGGCGTTCGATGAAACGGCATTCGATGAAACGGCTTCGATGAAACGGCGTTCGACAAAAACGGCGTTCGATGAAATGTCCGGTCCCAATGACGCACTACCAGGCGAACGCGAAGCATCCCGCCGTGCGTCGCGCTCGGTGAGGTCACCACAAGGGCAAATCATGAACGGGTGGACGCTAAAAAAATATCCGCAAGAGTGGGGCGGCGGCTCGCGCCATCTAGCGAGGAATGAAAGTAACAAATTGTCTTTCAATTGGATGGGTAAAGTATGTACTTGTTACACCGAAGCTTCGCCCGCCAATGTAAAAACAAAAACACATGGACTATGAAACAGAGCGTTTACACATATGCGATTTCATTGTCGCACTGGTGACAAGCGATAGGCCCACGTCCGGTGTGAAAATCAACAGAGGTGAGGGCACGCAGGGGTTAAAAGAAAAACAAGAAATTTAATTAGGCGATAAAAAGCCGCGCACGGCGACAACACGACAAAACCATCAGAACGAAATGCAAACACGCGTTACTCCAACAACACACTCGCGAACCTTAGGGCAGCGGGGCCGCGAAAAAAAAACAAGACAGCACTCAATTCCCGACACAACGCGAAACAAGTTCGCCGGTGCAAAAAAGACGAAAGTTCCTACAAAGGAAAGTCCCCACTGCGGGACCCAAAGTCCAGGAAAACGTTCAAACGAAGACCGAAGGCTCACCGACGTCTTGAATACGACGAACGACGAAAGCTTCACGTGCCCGGCGTGGTGGACTGGTTGCTCGGTGGCCGACGCAACGCAGCACCGCACGCACACACTTCCCGAAAAGGGAAAAACCGACGCCCGTCGTCACTGCTGGAATCGTAGCCAGAGCAGAGGGCTTGAGCGAAAGAAGATAGCAGCGCCGACATCATGCTCTCTCGAGTTGCGGGCCGCCACGTTTCGCGAGACGAGGAAAGAAGACCGACGACGAGGCAAGAGAGAGAGAGAGAGGAGGTGCCGAAAGAAGAGGAGAGCGTTTACTCAAGGTCGCAGTGCGAGGACCTGCATGGTCTCCTTCCGACACGACCAGGGGAATGTGACACGTCCGTCGGTGCAGCGCGGTGCGGTGCGGTGAGCCCCAGGCGAATGTGACATTAGGTAGGCTTGCACCAACGTTATTAGATTAGCTCAGTTATGAAACTGCTCATAGCCGCTGCATACACAAGCAGTACACCCCCCCCCCCCCCCCCCCCCCTCTCACCATGACTCGCCTGGCGTAAAGCTTCATGTTTCAAAAGTAGCGTAAGGTACGTCGATGCACGAGGCACGTGCAGCCCTTGGGAACATCATGGCGGCACAACGCAGCACAGAGCTAGATTTCAGACGCCATTGGTTCTTTGTACAGTTCCTGGTAAGGGGCTTCCTACGGGAGCCAGAGATGCGCGCTCATCCCCGAGGCGCCGTCTTTCCTGCATGGCATGTTGATCCAGCTCTTCACGTGACTGAATTCAGCGAATAGCGGCGCCGCGCGTTTGAGGCGCGCGGCGCACTCAAAAGCAGGGGAACCGTTCGGCAGAGCGCACGCAACGTCTACTTTCCTGCTGGGCACTCGATCCGGCTCATCACGTGATCGGATCTCGGCGAATAGCGGCGCGGCGGCACGTGGAAAACAGACGCGCAACTCTGGCTCCCGTAGGAAGCCAGAGTTGCGCGTCTGTTTTCCACGTGTTTTCCGCGTCTGTTTCCACAGGAACTCTAGCTGCTCTAGCTCTGAGGAACGCAGTTATGAAAGGAAAATCTAGATGGCGCTTCGAACGACGGCTGCGGCAGGCGGATTGAAGTGAGTGAGGAGGGGGGGGGGGACCTCTAGAGTTCCTGTATAGTGGCATATACAGGAACTCTAGGTACCTCCTTCCGCGGGAACTCCACAACTGAGGCAATCTACAGGGTGATTCAAGACTTAAATCGACCGCAAAATTCGGTTTTTTAATCTATCGCGCTACGACTTTGTGCAGGTTGCCCACAGATAGTGCATTTTGTTTTGTAAAATTTGCAAAGAGCGAACTTACCTGTAGAAAAAGTAAAGAAACAGGCTTAACTCCTATGGAAACGCAGCGACGCCACCGGTCTGCAAACAGCACGGCGCCGTTTCGCACGGGAGACAAGAGATACGCAAGCGGTCGCGACGCCAACTGCCGCCAACGAACGAGCATATGACGCCGAGAGCCGGCGTCTTTATTAGCAGACAAGCAGCTGCAGTTCCTTGTTGTTACCGCGCCTGTCTTTGTTTCCGCGACTGTCACCGCCTGCAGAACGCACGCCGCTTTTGAGTCGAAAAGATCGTCTGCTAAAGAGGCCGGCTCTCGGTGCCGGTATGCTCGTTCGTTGGCGGCGTTCGTTGCGCCATCTCTTGTCTCCCGTGCGAAACGGCGCCGTGTTGTTTGAGACCGGTGGGGTCGCTGCGTTTCCATAGGAGCTAAGCCTTTTTCTTACTCGTATCATGTATGTCGAAAAAGCATGCTGCGGTTGCGCGAGGCCGATTCACAAAACACGGATGCCTGTAGTCACCTGACCACAAAGAGCTAACCGAAACCTTATCGCGCATTGGTTGCGCAGTGAGTATCGTATCTTTAACCGAGTATCGTATCTTGCGACGTCTTAGGACCGAATGCGCTGCAGCGAAGCTGGTTCTCGTCGCAAGAGGCTTAAAAACCGGTCTTGTCTCTCGGTCGTATGAGCGCCGAAATCACGTGTGTGTTTTCGGCGCTCATTTTTTGGTCTATGTGTTCAAAGGAGCAGCCTCACATCGAACATACCAATATCTTGTTAAAAAAATCACGAAAAGGAATTTTAAAACGAATTAAACGACGCAGGGAACGTGCGGCTTGCACATAAGGTCGTTTCGCCATTTCTGCTTGTTCTTTTTGAGAAATATAAATTCAGGAGTACATATACTGTATGCTGTAGAATCTTAACTGAAACGCTCGACCTCGCGTCTTTTTTAGGGCACACGGAGGGGAAAGCTGGGGAGGAGGAAGCAGACTGAATGCTGAAGAGGATCGAGGAAACCTCCTGCTGTCTTTAGCGTCCCGTCAACATTTCGTCTGCTTCCTCCTCCCCAGCCCTCCTTTCCCTTGAAAACTTTATTTGGGACCAATTTCTTTCAGATATAGTGAGACGATCTTGACAAGACACAGGAGGAAACTAAAACCATGCAAACCAACAGCGTCTCTATTCCGATGTACTACTGGCTAGCACGTGCTGGCCGTGTTTGCTGTCAGTGACAGCGGCACAAAGTCAGGGGGTGAGAAATCCAGCCTACACCCCATAATATACTCATGCATTTTGCCTTGCCCTCTCACCACCACCAATTCATGGACATTCCAGGCACCTCGGGAAGCAGAGAAAAGCTCAACGAAGAAAAGCTATTTGGAGATAAGGTAATCAGAGAAAAGCTCACCACTCAAGTGAAATTCGTTCACTCAACTGAAGTATGCTGGGATGCCTTATGCGCATGTGGTCATTCTGCACTTCACTAGCAGAACATATTTTAATACTGTAAACAACTCATATTTCGCGATTTAGGTCAAAGCTGCAGTTTTGGAATAATCCGCGGGCTCTAATTTTCGCGACGCGGTGGGATCTCAATATAGATTCCAATGTGTTTACATTTTACCGGAATTGTTCGCGGGACCTATTTTTCCCGAATTGTGGGACATTCGCGAAAATGAAGTCGTTTACAGTATATAAAGACATTCTGTACCATGTTAGGCGTTGCCCAACGAAAATAAAATAATTTCAATAGAATGCTAATTAAAAAAAAAATACAGGGGGGGGGGGGGGGGGGGATTAGTGTGGAGGGCTGCAGCTTGAGTAGTTTCTGGATAATAATTTATAAAATGACCTTTACACCGCATTGCTGAATTTAGAGTTCTCATTATTTGTGGTTTCAATTTCGAACGAGAAAATAAAAATAAAAAAAAAAAGTTGTTTTTCCTTTATCCTGGCTACGTCAGGATTGAATATGGTAATAAGCGAAATGGGTTGACAAAATCAGAACGAAGGCCACAGCCAGGGTGAAAATGAAAATCAAGATTACTTAAATCGTGATTTAAATCAGACAGGTTTTACTAGGATGATTTAAATCGAACCTTGCCCACAAAAATAATCCCAAAAATATTTTTTGTTTTTTTATTATTACTTGATACCTTCTATGTCGCCATATATTGTATTTAAATCAAAGACTCATCACATAAGAAAGATTTATATCGAAATTAAAACGAGCAAAAAGCAGTGGTCTTCGGGGCAAATCAATGCATTGAGCTTTATTTCTATTTCTGGCTTCGTTCATCAATCAGTTACGTCACATCTTATTGCAATGATACCAGAATGCAAAAGGTGGAAACAAAAACTGAGAAAGTAACATCATTTCGCAAGAATATCAGATCTTGAAAAGAAAACCCACTACGTCTTTTTTGCTAACAAAAAAAAAAAACTAAGCTGTTTTGTTTTAGTAGGGCTGAGTTTTCATGAACAAAAAGTTGCTAAAAAAAGCAGTAATTCTTTTTTCTGCATTGTTTTCACTGCTCGGAAGAATTGATCTAACGACCAGTCGTGTTTAGAAATATATATAGTGATAAATAATTAATATTTTCTAGGTACAGTCATTTTAGTCTAAAGTAAATAAAATAAATCTGCCTTACATTTTAAAAAATCTGATTTCTTTATTTTTTTTCTTTTTTGCCCACAGCAGAGCAACCTGATGTGAAATGTGTACCCTGTGTGGCACTGTCAACATAAACACACAACTCCTTTTTCCTTTTACAGTTTAGTGGTTGCCATTAAAAATACTTGTGCGGTGGAAATTGCTCATTTGGAAAACAAAGTTATGCGATTAAAGTTTGATGCTGATTAACCCCTTCTCTAGTAAAAATCTGAAAAATCGCTTTGCACTAACTTTGTTGCACGGTGTACTGACTGCGTGAGAAACCTAAAACCTTGGTAGCGCTACTGCTATTAAATGATAACGACCACTTCACATAATAATTTAATTTGAGGTGAGCTCTTCTCTGGATCTGCCAAAAGACTGGCGAGCTCTCTTTGGACCCGCACAAAAGTGGGTAAACTTTTCTCTGGGATTCAACGCCTCAACCCCACCCCTGAAAAAAGAAAGAAATCCTGGCTATGCCACTGATCAGACAGCTTGCACTGAAGTGAAAAACACTAGCTGAATTCCATTCAGTGAATATGGTTTTTATCCCTCTTTTTCGTCAGTGAACATTGCATTTCCAATCCTCCTTTTCGGCATAAAGAGCGGAGGCTGTACATGAAAATTCAGAGCTTCCTGCTGCACAGACATATGCACATTGTTGAACTTATCCAAAGCTATCGGCACGGTATAGAGAAAACTTTGGACAACATTTGTAAGGAAAAATTGCGTTTTATTGAAAGCCAAGAACATGCACGTGAATGAGATTACATAAACGGTGTGGTAAATCACCTATGGCTCAAGCGTCGAGCAAACAGCCCAGCCGCCGCCAACGTTCCGCCACAAACACGCTACCACTTGCAAACTCTGAACATGTTTTTGTGTGTATTTGTTTTACAAGAAGCACGATAAACGTGATTAGACAAGTCTTTTTGTCAACGTTTTTGCCCCGACAAACCTGGCAATTGATGCACATGTGCAAAAACAAATAATATAAAATAAGCTGGCTTCTCCTAAATGTCCACCAATGTACCAGCATTAGAAACCAAAGACGGCAGATGCTTTTCTAGAATACAGAAACATCCGCATACACGATGGCGCCTCTACAGCACAGCAGCATGGCGGCATTTCGCACTCCTATGGAAATGGGCTAACGTCAAAAGCACTCCTCTGAAGGAACGAAAAAAAAAAGAAGAAAAACATTGATTTGAGGGTTGAGAGAAACAAGGACTTCATAAGGACTCAACTGGAACGCACGTCAGGCCCGGCGCGCAGGTGCTCGCACGAGCGATGCACTTTGCATTGCCTCTAAGCGACCATCCGTGAGGGCAGTGAACGACCAAGCTGCATACAGCCATCCGAGAGCCGTCTTTACAGCGAGCCATACCCGAATCTGGGACGCCCACCCGCCTAAATGAAGCAAGGACGACTCTGAGAGCTGCCGCTAAAGCGTTGAAGCCGATTGACACGGAACGATATTGTATACATAGCTGTCTAGAGCATCTGGAACGGCAGTTTGCACTGCACTTTTCGGGCCCATCGTGCAAACGCCAACGCAAGAGGAACACGACGCTAGTAGTATCACGCGGTCGGGTGAAACTCGACGAAAGCCGTCACGAAGTGCAAAACTTTGTGGTGTGCTACGGGAGTATAAATAAGCGGGCTGGTACGAGAAGCTCGATCTGGACTGCGGTTACTCCTCGTTGTCGTCCAGGTATCCCCTGGTCGGAGCGGGAGGCCCGGAGTCCGCCAGGAAGCTGTCGAGGACGCCTTGCATGCTGCGGCGCATGCGCACCTCGCTGTCGTCGTCGCAGGACGTGGTGGTCACCACCTGCTCCTGGCCGTCGGGACAGACAGTTCGGATGGTCCGAGTTGTGATCACACTGCGGAAACAAACCGACACCCTCTGAGCCTTGCGCATTTGATCGCTGCTTGCATGGCACTAACGTTTCGGTCACGTTTCACTGAAAAGTGGAATGCTTGTTGGTTAGGTAGAGTGTTCGGGAAAGCGTTTTTGTCAGCAAACCTGACGTCGCCACAGAAGTAGCTCAGGTAAGCCAATGTGTTCCTCCGTTTTGTGCTTGTGCCAATGGTGAGTAATATGAAGGCACTTTGTTCCTCCAGATTGGTCAATTAATGGAGGGCTTCTGGTTGGTGTCTTTGCCACTCACGCCCGTAGTGCAAATTTTGCTTGTTTTCTAAAAGGATGAACTCGCGTGTGCTAAGGTAACACTAAGAGAACAGTAAAATCAAATCACGGTCGCCAAATTAGCGAGCATCTCCTTGCTACTTTGGTGACTGACAAAATGTAGGTGCAACATGTACAGACACTGCAATGAATGTTGCAAAATTGCAGCATGGCAACGTGGGCTGCCCACTCGCCATAAGTGGTTTCTTGCTTCTCCTCTGTTATCGTCAACAAGACACGCCCGTTGAACAAAAACCAAGATGCCTACCACACACTTCAACCTCAATGCGGCACTGTCCAGTAACTCGCACTCTGTAATTCAAAGGGAAGTAAAAGCCTAAAGTCGAACCTGTTCGCAAGATCAGCAAAATGAAAACATGTCAGCGTGGGAAACAGCAGAATGCATCGCCAAAGAAGCGACAGACAAATAGCAGAAAGGCGGGCGACTAGTATGACCAAGCATGCTGAGGCTCATACACAACCCTCAGAGTCTGAGGCAACCTAAGGGGAATTATTGTCATTCAATTGTGGTTGCAATCTGGGATGCTCTTAACCTATGTAAGGAGCCAAATTCCTCTGGCAATCTGCTATAGAAATTTGAGCAATGCAATGCAATGCAGTGCAGAATGTTACCCTTCACCTCGATAGAAAAGTTCGATGATGAGAGATGCAGCGGTAGAAACATTGTCGCCCATTCAATGTTTCCATTTTCGTATGTCCATTACAGGCCTGCTGGATACCAACTGCTCAGCTATGGCCAGAAGTTTCAAGAAGTAGACTCTCATGGGGAGGTTCCATTCAACCTACAATAACTTAGTAGGTACGGAGACATAACCTAACCTAGCCCTCCCCCAACACACAAATAAAAAGCTAGTAGTGCTTTTAATAGGTAAGTAGACGCCTAATTCTCACAACTATGGAGCCAACGCATGGCTCTTCCTTGCGGCCGTTAGCAGCGTGGTACATATATTGCGTGCGAGAGGGTTGATAGCCCACCACCAGCGCGGAAGGCACAAGCGGCGCCTCACCGAGAAGTGGCGACAGGTTGAGCTGATTCATCCAAAGCCGACTCTTCCTCCATCCACTGGTCTCCGCCTTTAGGAGAGAGGAAGAGGCGTTGCTGACTACAGCAGAGACACGTGCCTCTACACAGGCAGAGAAACACCGCTCGTTCATTGGAAATGGGTAGAAATTCAAAGAAGGGAAAGGGGTACTGCTCGCACACACTCAACCAGCACCAGGACACGGCAGAACTCAACAGGACAGCAAGGGGTTGGAGGACAGGAGGGGGATTACGAGCGGCGGACATGTCTCGGCGGGATCTACCTGACAAGCGCCGAAGCCCAGGCCAAGCCGTGGAGGGCAGCGTTGTGGCGGGGGGGTCGGGGGCTAACGCGGGAGGGCTCGCCAGCGACGAGCAGACGCCCACGCCAGAGTCCGATGTCGGGGTGTTTTCGGCCGAAGACTGCGGCCCCACGCCCGAGTTGCGCATGTATTCTTGCATCTGGGCACGGGCGTCCGGCCCCGTGAAGGTCACCGTCTTCACGGAAGGCTTGACCAGCACGCGCTGTGTGACTCGTACCGCATTGCCTGCGTCGTCAAAGCCCTCGTATTCGTCCTTGTCGGCCGATGGCTGCACCGCCGAGAAGGAGGCCACAAATGCGCGGCTCCGCTCTTCGGCGTCCAAGCCGGAGAAAGTCTGCGTGTGCAACTGCGGTTCCGACGTGAGGTGGCGCTTGACCGTGCGCGTCACAACCACGTTGCCGCGCTCGTCCAGTGTCTGCCGCTCTTCTACTTGTTCCTCGTCCGCGGGCGTCACAACAGATTGGAGAAGGTACTCCCGGAAGCGTGTTTCGACGTCGTCCGGCGGGGGACGCCCACCCTCTAGGGGCCGTCGCTTCACTCGGCGCATCGTTGCATTCCCATCAAAGAAGAACTCGCCAGATTCGTCGAGCAACGAATCCACGGTGTCGTCCCCACCATGAAAGGGGCTCTCTAATGCCGGCGTACGTCCTTGCAATCCAGACCGTACTGCCTCCTGGTCCAGTGTGTCTGTGCTGGACACCATGGTGGATTCGTCAGCCGACGTCAGGCTGGACGACATCATTGAGTCTGTTTCGAATTGATAAGTGGCGTGTGTGTTGGCTGAGCTGCTAGGTTCCAGCGAGTCGGTGCTGGAAACGAGAGCATCACCCTGCAAGCGCTCGGCTGGAAACAACACGGGTTCTCCGTCCTGCCCAACCCAGGTGAGCGTGTCGATGCGCTCGATGACCACCGGTGCCACTAGTGGCGACACTGCCGGACGAGACATGGTTGGGGAGAGCTCCGTCGTGCGGATGGGACTCGGCTGCCGGTGCCAATCGCGCGGGAGATCATCGCCGTGGAAAGAGTCCCAATCGATCTCTCGGGCTTCGTGCAGCGAGTCCTGGAGGTTGTTCCCATCGTCCTGCAGAGAATCCATTTCTGCCGACGGGTCCATCCCCTGGAGGGAGTCCTTTTCCTCACTAGGGTACTCTTGGAGCGAGTCGTGTCTTTCTGACTCGTGCAACGAGTCTTGGTCGACGTCCGCGGCATCCTTCATTGTCCACCCCAGGGTCTCGGGTGCCTGATTAGATTCAAAATCGTCCATCTCTCTTTCTTTCAGCGAATCTGCATCATACTGAGTCGCCGTCGAGGCCGAGCTTTGCCTGTCAACGCTGTCCACCGAATGTCCGCTCTCGGTGCGGGACGTCAAAAAGTGTCTCTCGGTGTGCTCGGATGTAAAATCTCGTTCGACCTGGGTTTTGTCTCGCCAGTGGTCAGCAAGCGTGTCGGGTCGGGTCCGCCCCGAGTGACCGTCGGCTTCTTCCGTTTCGACAACAAACTTTTGCAGGCCAGATTCCGTCAGGGCGCCACGGACCCGGAGAAGGCCTTCGTACAGTTCTTGATCTGGATCCGACGCCTGGCTTTCGTGGCCTTCGTCGATTTCGTCCAGCCTGGCCACGGGTTCTTCTCGGAGGCGGCCGTCCACGCCCTCTGCTTCGACCAACTCTTTCTCCAGTTTCTCAAACTCGGTCAGGGAATTGACCGACACACTGTCCTGCTCGCTGCCTCCGTTGCGCGCTTGCTGCAGACGACCGCTAAATGAGTCGCTGGAGCCCACACTGGAGGACTTTCCCCCCGATGCCATCTCGGCTTCGAGCCTCTCGAACTCCATCAAGGAGGATGTTGAGGCGTCGTCCCGTTCGCTTCCCTTGCCAAAAGTCTTGCGCCCAGCGAGCGTGTCGTAATCGGGGGTGGAGCCACGCTCGTCAGAGATGGGGCTAAGCCTCCGCCCACTCCGTGAGCGAGACCTGTCGTCGTCCTCCTCTTCCACTTCCTGGTGCGTGTACAGGTCTCCGTATTCGGCGCGACCATCGTCGGCGTACTCTTGCTGGTAGGACAGGTCATACGGAAATCCTTGCTGGCCATTCCCCTCCTGCAACTTGCCCGCGAGCAGGTTGACATTCTCCACGTCCATTGCTTCTTCCGGAGGAAATGAACCTTCACTAGCATTCTTCTCCACGATGGTGCCATATTTGTAGGTCTGTTGCATGTGCATCAGATAGTCCTCGCATTTGCTTGTGTAAGCCTTTGTGGCAGCGTGCTTATTCTCTGGAAGGCAGCAACTCTGTGGGGGACAAAAGTCGGACTGTGCTGGAATGATCTCAAATGGTTCGTCCTCGCAAGTCGTCTGCATGACGTCGGTCTTCTCGACAAACTCGAAAGATCCATTGGATTCTGGTTCATTGAGACAAGCATCCTCAAGGTCGTCTTTTACGACTGTAGCCGTTTTGGGACTGCAGACGACACGAATGTCCGCAGCAGCTGCTTTGGGTTCCCTGCTGCCCAGCCGAGTTTGTGAGCTCTTGAGCTGGTCACTCTCTGGAAAACAGCCATCATCCTCTTGAAGCTCGATCTCATCTGGCGGTTCTGGGGTCGCTGGGCGCTCAAAGGGCTCCTTCGTCGTCGCATTATCTTTAGATAACCCGTCGCTACCGGTAGAATAAGCATACTGCCGATCCGCCAAGCTGACGGCACCTTCCACTTCTTCTGTAGAAAGCTCACCTTGGAATGTTTCGGCGTAGAAACCCTCACATTCTTCATCATGGACTTGCTGCTGCTGTTGCTGCAGCGGTGTTTCGGCTTCAGTATGTTCACGAAGGAAGTCCTCTGCTGCGTTAGACAGCTCTTCTGCCGGTGCCGCAACAAACTCCGCATCGGCGAGCGGATCCAGTGGACGGATGCCTCTGGGAGGAGCAACAAGGTCGTCGTACTCGGGGACATAGTCCACTTCCACGGGGCCGTTTATTTCTCGAAACGGGGGAGTGGCACCGTTGTCCGCTGCATCTTGAACTTGCGCGTCCATCGCATCGCCGACAATTGCGGGTTCATCAAGGGGCAGAGGCACCGAATCAAGCATCGTCGACTGCCGCTGGTAGCGCTCGTTGTCGCAGGAGAAGCGCTGCGTCTGCACCACGTCTACTACGGTTTCCACGCTCGTCTGCCAGGTGTGTTCGCTTTGTGTGGCCGAACTTTCAGACACAGACAGCTGTTCTTCTTCGTTTGACACAGGCTCGTCCACAGAACGTGGCCGTCGCTGCCCGTCTGAGGTCGCGGCAGCCCCATTCAACGCTTCTAATTTGGAAGATGCATGGGTAGCTTCGGTCCTGCCTATCCTGTCAAGTTCGTCGTGATGTGGCTCGGCCGGCCATCTTACCGAGCCAGTCATGTATTCGGCGAGAGTATCGCGGGTGACTCCTTGAAATGAGCTTGTTTCCCTCCTTCTTTCTACCATCTGGCCTGTAGAAGCCCTAGTTGTATCAAAGCCTTTCTGAACGGACTGCCAGCTGGGCAGAAAAGGAACTTCTACTCCACCCCGTATAACAGACTCCGGTATGTCCCCGTCGTAAGGCTCTCGGAGGCCAGAGACCGATCTCTGCGATTCATTGTCGTCGGAGTCTAAATCTTCGTGAGCCGAGGCAACAATAGTTTCACTTGCTTCCGAAGAGGCCTCGAGACTGCCGAGATGACCGGAGCTCTCGGAGTCAACGGAGTAGGCCGACCCACGCGAGCTTCCGCTGAGTGAGGATCGAGCGGTTGCATAGGACGCCTCCTGGGACGAAGTGGCAGCAGTGGCGTAGGAGCCAGACGCCTCCCCATCTTGGGATGTGACGCAAGTCTCGTATTCCGAAGACGCATGTCCACTGAGAATGTTCAGGTCGAATTCTGACGATGTGGGTCGACTGACTCCGGGAGTCTTGCCAGAGTCCGACGTCATTTCAAACGAGTAGTAGTGGCTCTGGTCAGTCTCCGAACCGGAGTGACCCGTGTCTAATTCGCGAGACACTCTTTTTTCCTCTTTCCTCGCAGAGGTCCTGGCTTTAGACCTTAAGACGACTGCCCCTTCACACTTGCCGCCGGTTGCAGAGCTTTCGCCGTCGCTCTTTCTCTGAGGAGGCGAGCCAGAACTCGACGAAAACTTTCCGGTGCTCGAGTGTGGGACACCTTGGGCTTCGTCTGGTGTGTGTGCCTCACGTTCTGCGAAGAATTCAATAGGTGCCTCCTCTTCAATCACACCCATCGCCTCGTCAGACAATGCAGCATCCTTTGTAATCTTATCGTCCGCTTTCTTCCCATGATCACCATCACTGGACTTGTTGTCGTCAGGTGGTTGCTTCTGTTCCGTCTCCACCATGACGGCAGCGGCCTCGGACGCCGACCTACGGTGTGAGCCGCCTGTCCTAGGACCGTCGCTGTCGGGGGACGAGTTTCTATCCGACGAGGAGTCCTTCCCGTCCCCGCGGCAAGTGGCCGAGATGTGCGTCGGCGACTGCTCCCTCTCCACGAGGTCTTCGTCCGATATCTCGGAAGGAATGTGCTCCAAGAGGGGCCTTTTCCGAGCGGTAATAGAGTCCTCGTCGGCTACGGCACTCTCTTTGTCTGCCTCTTCGTCGTGCTCCACAATCACCTGCTTCTCGGCCGGAATCTCGCGCACCACTTCCACGCTCAGTTCCTGTTGCTCCACGACGGGGGCCTCCCAGGTGACCTGTTCCTCAATTTCCACGGCACTTTGCATGGCGCGCGGGGACGCCGGGGGCGTTGGCGGTATTGGTCGTCCCTGGATCTTGGACAAGACATGATCGGCCCATTCCTCTTCGTCCTCGTCGCTGTCGCCTCTCCGAGACTCCGGCGTGCGTGCGTCACCGATGCCGACGCTCAGCAGGCCAGCCCCGAGAAGCCCTTCCGAGAACTCTCTCTTTTCAAGCGCACTCTCCTCGACGAGCTGGTTGAGCTCTTCGCCGTAGACGTGGGTCTCGATCCGAAGCTCCGCCTCCGAACCCACGTGCATTTCGGGTGTGCCTTCGTCAGACTTGAGCAGCGACCGAGGCCTGGTAGGTGTCACCCGCTTTTCGCCCGGCGGTTCATCCTTCCTCTCGTCGTCGTCTTGCGGCTCCTCGGTTCGCAGGGCCAAGTGAGCCCCCATCACCGTGGCTTCGGCTTTCTCCGTGGCGCCGTCGCGTACGACCTCGTAGGGACTGCGACTCCCCGCGGGGCTGGAGCCAGACTCTTCGACGGGCGATGAAGAGGCATCGATGACGTCTTCGCCGGCGAATGCCACGTTCTCGAATGCCATTGCATTGGTGTCCGACGCGGGTGCCTTGGGCGAGAACACGTCGGAAGAAGACTCCACTGACGATTCCAAGGGGTGCACGGCGGCCTGTTCCGTGCCAGACACTTGGTCTCGCGGTTTGCTGCGCCCAGGGGATGTTTCTGTTGGAGATACGCCAACACGCACTTGCATCTCGGGCGTGAGGTAGTCGGGGTACTCTTGCGCCGGCGAGATGTCTTGTTCGGCGCGGTAGGCCGTCTCTTCGGGAGGCGACGCCTCGAGCAAGGGCGAGCGCTTCTCTTCCCGACCCCCCGCCGCGCTGCGCCCGGTCGCGACGGTGGCGACGGCGGCCGCGGGGCCCGCCGTGGCGACTTGCTCGCGCTCCTCTAGAAATACGGCAGTGAACAAACTCGTGTTAGTAGTCCCACAGTCTTGTGCCCATCGGTGGACACGAGTCTCCGTTCGCACGCATGCAAGAAACTCGGGCCCGGTTACTGCCAGCGAGAGCTCAATTCAGGTTGTCGGCACGTGGACAAGCATCAAATTCACGAAATAGATCTCGTCGCAAATGCGCAAGGGCTGTGCCGATCGATAAAACTTCCTTTGCCGAGCAAGCTAGCAACAACCGGGCCGGCGTTAGGGTGTACTACAGCGGTCTAAAACGTGAGGCGGGAGAGAGGAGCTACTAAAAACAAATCTACGGGATCTGGAGCCAAGGCCAACAAAACAATGCCGAAACACAGGCTAAACATGTGCGACATAACTGTTTGCCATTCCAAGGAGTCGACTGAGGTTTGAAAAGCAGTGGTTGTAAACAGACAGTGGCGTGCAAAACAAGAACTGCTCAAAATGCATTGCACACACGCCGGTTTCAGGATGATGGAATAAAGGCAGAGGATGGTCCATTCGTGACTTCACGTTTGAATGGTGTTGGCAATCGGTGCGTGCATAACTGCTAATAGCAGTGCCAAGCTTCGGGGCTATAAGTAATGTGCTTTGTGAAAGGAATATACATTAGCATTTTCCATCTGTCTAAAAATATTTACGCAATCCTGTGCCAAGCAAACACAAGTGCACACACTTTTTTTTTATTGCATGCAACCCAACCTACCTACATAGTTATACCAAAGCCCACTCATTTTCCCTCATTACCACATTGTAATCGTAACTTTCAACATACTACTATATTTATTTCAAATTATCTCTCATTTCCAGAAAAAGAAAAGCAAAGGAGAAAGTGAATGCAAATCGATGGAGCTCACAAATACAGACACCACTCTGCACAGACAGCTGCCAAAAACTGATGCAACAACAGAGTAATCGCGTCACCGGGCAGGCCAATGAAGCCAGGAAACTCCGACACAAAACGAAGCACGAAAAAAAACAAGAAGAACAAAAACAACATTGGTGACATGGCCAACCGAAGTCAACTAAGGAGAAAGGCAAGCAAGTTCCGCGTTCTGGGGAGCTCCGCGTGCAGGCTTGCAGCAAGGAAAACGTGCCCCGGTACCTGGGCTCTGCTCTTGCGAGGCACGAGACGCGAGCGGCAGGTCGTCACCTGCGGCTTGGGCGACCGACGCGTCTGGGCAAGACTCGAACTCGAACTCCGAAAGGGCTGTCTGTGCGCCGCTTGTCTGACTTCCGATCTCCACTTCCAGAGAAGACTGCCGATGCAGGTCACCGCTGTTGTCACCGCTGGTGTGTCGGTCTCGGGGACCTCCCTCCTGTGAAGATGACTTGTCCTCGGCCGAGCCTCCTTCAGGGGACGGAACGTCGTCCTCAATGTCCGGCGCCTCGTCCTCGGTTCGAACCTCGGCCAGTTCCATGTCGCTTTGCGAAAACCCGTCGAGCAGCTGCATCATCAACTCGCGGCTGCACTTCTCCACCCGAGCCTGGTCATCCTGGGACTCGGCGGTCGGCGAGCCACGCCGCCTCTCGTCCTCGTCATATCCCGCCTGCTCTTCCAGGTCGGCGACGTTTCTGACCGAGAACTGGACACGTTGTTCCTGGCCTTCTTTCAGTGCCTGGTAGATTTCTTTCATTCCAAATGCCCCGCCCCCTGGCTCTTGCGCGATGGATGGAACCTGGGACAATGTCTCGCTCATGTCGGACGCGCCGGGGGGACTCCCAAACACGTCTTGACGCATCGGTTCTACGCCAATGCGATTGTCACGGTCCCCGGGTGAACGGAGAACTTGCTCGGCCGTCACTTCTCCTCCGAAAGACTCCACCAGGCTGGTGGCCATGTGCACCACGTTGTTCACAATGCGACCGGCCATCTCTTCCCTCGTTTCCACCTCCGCCGCAGAGTCGGCGGAGTCGGGTGAACCACCCTCCACCGAGAAGCCGACCCGTTTCTTGGGCACGGCTTTGCTTTCGTCGTCCGCTGTGCTTGACGGGGCCCCGCCGCCGTCCGCTTGCTGGATGATCGTGCTCTCCTGGAACACCTGTGGGAAGTGGACAGGACGGATGCCCTCAAGATCGGTGGTCAGGAACTCGGCAATCTTTTCCAGTTGTAAGTCGCCGCTGGAGAAGCTGCCCCCGTCGTCGTCTTCGAGCGAGGAAGAGGTACCCAGATTAAAAGGTATTGCCAGTTCAACTTCTTTGTATTTTGCCAGATCGCTCTGTTGATCTTCGTCGGACGAGTCTGGTACGTCAAAGGAAACCTTCTCTCTGGGTTTCACAATTTCAATTACTTTTGAAGTAAGGTCTTGGACCTCGTAAGCTAGGGATCCTGGAATGTCTGCAGACGGTTCGGACACACTTGCTTCAAGTTTTTCTCTGGTGGTCCCGTGAAAGCCTGTAGCGGCAGTTTCGCTCACAACAGTTTTCTTAGGTGTTTCAACATCTTTCTGATGAGGGCTAGCTGGGGGGTCTGCGGCAACATGTGGAGGCAATCCTGTGCTGCTGATGGTTTCTGGAACCTCTGTTTTAGAGCCATCTGCCTTTAGAAGGACTTGTGATTCCTCACTGGTCATATATCTTGTACTTTTAGAGCATACTTGCATATCAGGGGCGCTCACATCGTTGAAGTCCTGAGAAACAGTGCCTTTTTCAGTGGAAATAGATGATGCACACGGCATGTCCTTTTTGTCAGTGTCAGTTTCAGTGGCTAGAATATCACTGGTTGTTTCATAAAACTCTTCAATGGCTTCGTCTCTAAACTCCTTCAAAACATCAGGCTTCTGGAGCTCGGTAGATAGAACCATTTCTGCCTTCTTAGCATGACTGGATTCAACGATTGCAGAATATTCTCTTTGAGGCTCAGTTGTTCTCTCTGAAGTCAAGACATCTTCAGAGGCCTTCAGTGGAGTATCTGCTAAAGTATGAGTGGACACGTCTGGTGCTGACAACTTTTTTTGCCTGCTTTCTTCATCGTCCGGCTCATTTCTAAGCAAGCTCTCTGATATTGTTGTAGGAGCATTGTCTAACAGCTTCTTGGTGCCATCATTAGTGGGTTTTTGTTCCCTGTCACCTGAAGTATCTTCTTCCTTCTCTGTCACAGGAGCAGAGTCAGTATCACATATGCCATGCGGTGTCACTGAGTTCAACTCACTGGTGTCATAGTCCAAGACTTGTTTTGCAGGTGCTTGCTTAGGCTTTGTGGGTTGTGTTGTTAATGCGTCGACAAAGCTTTCTAAAGCTTCTTCCAATTCGGCTTCTCTTTGCTTAGTAGAAGGGTCGTCCTCAGACGACACAATTTGCTTTGCCAAAGACTCTTCAGTGACTTCTTCAGCAATTGATTCAACGGTCCCATGTTTAGGTTTGTGAATTGATTGAGATGCCAGAGCTTCTTCCATTGTGTCAACAATTCCTTTGAATTCTTCAATGTCCTCCTCTGATCTTGTCCTTGGAAACTGCCGAGCCGATCCATCTAGTGCCTCACGCAAGCCTTTTGGAACATCCTTAATGGAACCCTTTTCACCTTTTATAGATGCAATGCTTTCACCAAAAGCAGATGACAACTTGTCCTGAATTTCAGTATAATCTGTTTTAAGCATTGCCTTCCCCGTAGGATATTTGTCAGCAGAAGGTTCCTTGCTAGAGAGTTCAACGCAGCCTTCTAGAAGACTAGAGGCACTCGGATGTTGCCCAATATCCAACATCTCGGGCTGCTTTCCAGACAACACATCGCTCAGTTGAAAAGAGCTAGCAGGTGCTGATACCACAGTGACACTTTGTCCTCCCATACGATGGAAGTCCGGTTGTTTTATGACAGTGTCGCCCATGAAGCTTACCTGCACCTCATCAGGAGGTGACGAAGGATCGGGGGGCAAAGCATGTGGCTCTGGGCCCACTTTTCCAACTGCTGGCATGCTTAGTGCTTCCAAGATTCCACTCTTTGGACTAGCCTCAATACCTTTCTGTAGGATATCTGAACCAGCTACCAGTCCCATCTGGAGACCTGAAGCGAGCAAATGCGACTGTGCACTGGAAAACAGACCCTCGGGCTCTGCGGCCAGTTGCTTTTCAGGTGCAGTCGTATCCACTGAAGCACCAATGCCTTTGGCTTGAGCCTTGGGACGTCCCTCTGTAATGTTGTTAGTCTGGTTAGCCATCAAAGTCTCGTGCACGTCCGCGGTCAATGCAGTAGCCTCATGCTCCAAGCAGACAGGGACATCACTGCCCACGGCACTATGTTTAGGAGGCTTACCCATGTGGTCCCTCTCTTGCTGAGTAGGCCTTGGTGACTCCCGATAAGCACTGTGCAGAGCAGAGTCCAGCTGTTCCGGTGCACCAGTGGCGGGAGATTCGTCAAAGCCGTCTTCGGGTACAGGAGAGCGAACAAGCACACGTGCAAACTGCTGCTCCTGGACGCCTTCAGAGACTGAAAATTCCGTAGTACGCATGTCGAAGGCTTCTTTGCCAGGTTCACTAGTGCGAACCAGTAGTCTTGTGGCACTCTTGCCATCTAGACTCTCTGGAGTGCTGGACACATCTGAACGCACGTCACTGGGGGCCCGTTCGGTTCGTGGTCCCGCCTGCGCTCTTTGCAGCTCCGTTTGGTCCAAGTCTGGAACGAGGCCAGTCTCTGTGTGAAGTTGGTACTGCACGTCCCGCACTTGCTGCTCAATCCGCTCCAGGTCCGCAGGGGCCTCCCTGGGCTCCAGCAATGCACTACCGTCGTCCTTGTCCTGGAAGAGCCTGAGCCTCTCCGAGAACACGATGCTTTCTTCAACAATCTCTCCCTGCGAGGCAAGGCTCTCGGAGCGTGGTCTGGGCTTCTGCGTGGCCACGGGGCGCGTGAGGGTGGTGTCCAAAGAAGGGGTGCTCCCCAGCCGGCCCCTCGAGCTGTCTTTGGGGGGCGAATGCTCCGACAGCTTTTCAAAAAACTCTTTTTTCTGGACAAAGGTGAGAGATTCTTCTTCGTCAGACAGCTGGTGGTGATCTCTTGTGGTCGTGCGAGTTTCTGCCGTAGACTTGGCACCGCCTCTGAGCGCACCTGTCGTGTCAAGCAAGGGGGGGAGAGGGGAACATCTCATGCGACATCCTGCCCTCTCCAAAGCACCTCCCCTCCTCTTGGTGGCTCCTGCTTCTCTAATCAAGGCTGATGAGCATGAGGGGACTGCATGCACAAGGGAGATGCTCACATCCCCAAGTTCTCAATCAAAAGAGAACAAAAGAGTGAAAAAGTAAATCAAACTTGTTTAAGGTCAGCTGTGCCAATCACTATCTAAGACAGAGCAGATGCAACCAAGGCCCTAACAGTACAAAGGAATTCAATCTTGCAGCAGCAAGACATATTATGACAAGAAAATGAGTAGAAGAAAAAGTGACATGCTCCATAGAGCATTCTGTCAACATAAGAAAACAGTGAAGTGCTAAGCTCTACGCTAACGTAGCCATTCAAGCACACAGACCCATGCAAAGCTCAAGCTTTCAGTAGGAATGCCTAAGAGGACGCAACCACAACACTTGCCATTGTGTTGCTGCAGACCGCAAGTCAACACAAGGTGCCATTGATTCTCATTGAGGCATATGGTGTTATAGCACTTTGTGTCTTGTTCTGAAGCAGATTTCTGGATAGCTTTCACATTGAAACCACACTCCAGACCTGGCATGCTTTCATGTTGAGGCTCATACAAATGTTACATTGAGAAGCGACTAATTTTCTACATCTACCAGCAATCAACCAATTTTGCAGCCTGATTTTGGTTCAGTCCGCAGCATGATGATGATGAAGTGTGTGGCGAGCATGAATACAGCTAAGGCTATGCTCTGTTTCACCTTAATCTGGTAGCAAGGAGAAGGCTGCAGCATTAACATATTGCTTTAGAATCTGCCTTGTCTGCACGAGCAGAACTGCTTGGCAGTACTATTGTTTCGCTACTACTTTAAGGTGAAACAACATAGCAGTTTCCTTCCGGAGGGACCTAGACACCAACCGCACAAAACATTGCAAACCACCACAAACCACCACTAGGCACAGACACGTCAAACAACAACGCTTGTAACTCAAGAGAAAAAAGTTACCATGAAGGTCGTTGAATCATTCAAACAAATCATCTCAAACGAAAATAATGCAACCAGCACAGAAAACAGTAGCAGGCACTGCCATTGGGAAAACAAAAATGGCCTTTTTCATTGGCAGCACAAAAAGCACAAAACATTTTTAACCCATGCATTACCCAAAAAATAAATTTGCAAGCAGCAGCAGCAAAAAGAAGAAAAAAAATCCCGAGGGAGATGACAAAAGCAGCAGGATATTCCAATTATAAAAAAAATCATGCACGGCTTCCCGAAGCAACACAACTGACCGCACAGCCGAGACTCAATTTCCTGAACTTAATAAAACCTGCATTAGCCGGCAGTTTTAAGGAAAACAGATTATAAACTGAGACTCCCAAGCAAAATTTGCCATCAACACAAGATACCAGGAGTCAAATAGACTATTTCACAAGAAAGCAATCGGAATTATTGATATGAGCACAGGAAAAGACTGCCTAAAAAGAAAAAAAAGAGGACAAAGCAACCGTAACTGCAAATAGCAAGACACTGTGTGCAACCCGCCAACCAGCAACAGAAAAAGGAAAATGTCTGCCTCTGCTATGTGGGGTGCATAAATAAACTGCTTCCATACTCCACTTCATGGGTTGTATGCACTGACATATAGAAGTTACATAGAACTCTGATCCCAAAGAACCAAGGAAAAACAAACAAATAAAAAGATTCCCAATATAAGTTGCGAATATATACTAGCCTATGCTTCTTTTTACATTGCCTAGTAGATTTCAGCTAGTCACTGCACAATAACCATGAAATGTAGTAAAGCCCTCATCGATATCAACTTCCACAAGAAAATAAGCGTCGATCCCCACAAGAAAAAGAGCAGAATGCTTTTCACGTTCCTCACTCTAAAGCCAAGAGGGCACCTAAGTTAGCAGTCTTTCATGGTTTGCTTTGCTACGCTCATCTGTTCCGAGAAGTTGCGGCACCCCTGTGCAACCATACACATGTTCACGGACGTGGCATGGGACACGTTTGGCGCTACCAGCTACTCACTTTCTCCTTGCTTCCCCGACGTCACGGTGGTGTGCGTCGTTTTGCGGATCACGTGTCGAACTCCACCAGAGTCTGGGTCGGTCTCGGTCCACTCTGTCAGACAAACGTACAAAAGTCAGACAAATGTACAAAAACAAATCTTCGATTGTTCTAAAAATATTATTACAGAAGCAATATGTGCAGGTATAGTTGCAAGCAAGCCTGCACAAAATCCCCGACTGGGCACTTAGAAGTTACCCCTAATTTAAAATGAAAGTAAAGAGATGCAAAGCTCACTTTAAGTTTAATTAGTGTTTTTTTAGTAATAATAATAATATAAATAATAAGCTTTATTTCCATTTAAAGAAATGGCGGAGCAAAAGGGAAAAAGCTTCAACAAGAAGCTTGACTATGACTAGCCCTCAGCTCCATCGGCAGCCATTGAGCAAACAGTTTTCATGCAATGAAAATTTTGTGCAAGTATCCTAGTTTTCGAATAGTAGCTTTGAATACGCTATTCAATATTCTCCTCGAGGTGAACTGTGATATTATTATTTTTCGAAGTGCTGACTACGTTAGCCCCATTGAGCAAGCTTCTTACAAAACACCGGTGCACTGCGGAGAAGCGACACATGCGGAGCTTGTTTCCGCGGGTGTCGTTTCTGCGCAGTGCACTGGTGCTCGGTTAAAAGCACACTCAACGGGGCTAAAATGCCGCGACCCACGCTTTGATAAGTACAGATATTGCTGCCGCATGCTTAGGAGGAAAACATACTTTCCAAGCGGGCTGGCACACATGTATGCCTGGTGGATTTAAATGTAACATAAACTTTGTAAATGTTGATACCTATATTGCAGTAAAATTTTCAAAACTAAACTGGCTATTATGCATGAATATATATATATGTAAGGCAGAGATGCTCTGACAATCCACGTTAATCATTTGTGGCTGAAGAGAAGATATTAGCATATATATAGTAAGAATATTTATAAATCATCTCGATTAGGTATAGCTGGGCACCTCTATCGGTTTAATTTAATGTCAAATATGTGTCGTTTTTTTTGCCATCCCAATGTATGCATTAAACTTCCTGAGGCCACAGTCGAATAATATAGTGATATAAAAATTAACTTCACTTAGAAATGGACAAGTGGAAGCTTGGGAACAACCTTCACTAGTTCAGCTAGTTTTTTGTTTAAGCCTGGCACAGTGGTGAAAGGATCACAAAAATTATTCGACACTCAAAAATATTCAGCCAAAATTACTATTCGCTTCGAACTCAAAATGCACTATTTGCATATGCCTATTTAATTTTAATAGCAAGAAATATTAATGTGCTCTCATCTTTTGGCTTTTAAATTTTCAACGAGAGTTCATCTAGCCCTGCTTGCAACTTTCAATGATTTTCTGTAGAGCAGCAAATCTAGACTATTTTGCCAGTTTGGTATTTTATCTTTAGGGTCCACTTGAAGAGTTTGCTTCTTCAACCCTTAGGCAGTTAAAAAGACCTAAGATCGAAGGCCTTAAAAAAGAGTGAATCTACATTTACTCTTGCTCAAATGAATTTGAGGTGTACAAAAACAAAATCTAAGAAAATTAAAAAAAAAAAATTAGTTGTATGATTTAGTTACTGTATTGGGAAAAATAAACATACTAATAAATAGGAGTTGAACCTTGCTGCCATGCATTTGACAAGCATAATATCCATTCACCTCATGCATGTATAAACAGTGTAGCAATATACACAAGTGTAGTTAGTCAACACTTAAGAGGCACATCTGACAAGCCAATAGCAGAGCATGCAAATTCATGCAAGAACCAGTTGTCCTTCAAAGGGCCTGGCCTTCCTCCCTTTTCATAACTATAAACATGTCACACTCGTTGACTTATCATGGTCTGTGAGTACATGCTTTAACTGCTGTGCTGGCAGCTTTGACTTTATTCAGTCAAAACAGAACATACTACCTTAATAAGATACATAGATTATACTTTCATGACTGCTAGATCAGTGCCAAACAAAAGTATGGCAAGCCATATGCTGCACCAAGGACATCTGCACCAACATTGTAAAAAGCTGTAAGTGACTTTTTTCTATTCAGAACTTAACTCTTCCCAATAAATAGACTGCCATGTTTTGGAGAAAAGACCATACCTAGTAGCTTTCCTGACATGCTTGAGCAATCTAGTTGCCTAGAAACACTGCCCCACCATGTTTGTTTTAGTTCCCTGCTATGTTCGCTTTCAACAGTGCATATGCATGGGAAGAAACAAGAAAACCAAGAATGGCACCATTTTGATGTCATGGAAGAGCTCACTTTCTCTCACGTATACACACCTACTTCCATATCCATGTTGTACTGATTCTGGCCCAAAATACCTTGAATTTGCTTTAATTCTGCAGTCATTTCAGGTGTATTTTCTCCCACCTCACTAATTCTTAACACAATAAATATCATAATTTCCTAGTACTAATAATAAAGCCAAATAAAACGCTACACCCTAACAGTTTCTTTTGTGAAAAGTTTCCGATGTGCAAAAGCTATAGAATAATAACTCCTCTGCAAATGGTTGGTCTTGTAGAAGAACAGTGTGAAGTAAAAGGTCAAGGTTTCTTTGAGTGTTGCCAATATGATCAGACACTGTTATACTGCAGACCATGTCAATGTCAATGGCTGTCGACCTTCAAAGACATCTGGTCCAAGTGAAACAAAATTTTCTAAATAAGCTTTCCTAGAATAAAGAAATGATTGTTTGGCAGCTACATACACTTTTTATGCCGCCCCCTTCCCTTGCCTCCCTTCCCCCCCCCCCCCCCCCCCCCCCCCCAAACAAAAAAGAAAACAAGAAACAATTGTTTAGGTGCAGCTAAACACATTTAGCTGCACCTCTGTTTGCTAAAAGTGGTATTAGCAGTAACTACAAATTACGTTTATGTACACTGTGTTCCATGTAGTACAAATAGTTTACACACAGGACAGTTCAGAACAGGAAGTCGGAAAGTTCCACAGACCACAAAAAGGGGATACACAAGGATATGAATGGTTTGTATTTTCTGGAGTATATAATATGCATTCATATGATGTAATTAGGGGCCTAAAAAGATTAATGCTGTGCATAATGCACACTGGTAACCTCATAGTATAAAGGATTACACCAAACCATGTGGTTTAAATGATTACGTAATCTCTAAAAAAAAGAACTTTTTTCTGGCACAACAGCTTTTCCTTTTTAGAATTAAACTTCCTCAAACACTGAAAGCCTTGTCTTGATGATGTCCTCCAGATGTTAAAGATTTCATTGCTACGCCCAATAGTTACTACAGATATTACATTAATTCCTTATCACCAACAATGTTTCTAATATAGATATGTTCCCATTTTATGCAGAGCTCACACTATTTTTACCTGCCTCTCCTCTACGAGCATGCACGGAACAGTGAAAAGATTTTAGAAAGTATCCCCTTGAAGCCTGAGCCACATGATCAGCTTAAAAAACTGAGGGCTGATGAAAAGTAGATTTTGTTCTTGGTCTTTCTTTTTTTTTTTAAATAATGCAATAGTACAATCTTTGAATATTATTTTTTGTACAGCTGTCAAAGATATGCATAATATCAAGCAAGCCCCCAAAACGGCTGCTGCATCTCTGGTTTTTGCAAATTGCAGCTGCCAGCCTCAGTGCACTGCATGTGCTTAAAAGCATAAAGCAGCTTGTGGCAGCTACAAATTTTTAAAATGAAGAATGTGGCACCAGTGCCATCTATTATTGCTGTCTTGGTGAAAAAAATAAACCCAAGAGATGCTCTAAGCACAGACTTTCTCGGTAATTTCCAAAAGCGTATGAGGTGCACCAATGTTTCATCTTGTATTCTCGGTATTATTCACATCTTCTACTACTGTACTATGACGCATCCTCAGCCTTGCTCTTGGTAGAACTTGCATCACATAAAACCAAATGACCAACAAAAAAGACTGCAGCTAACTAGTAATCGCATTACAACTGCTTCAACCTGGCAAACCACTAACGCATGGGAGTCAACACACACATGGGAAGCAGATTGTGTTATGGAAAGATAAAAGCTTTGTTAGAAGGGCAGCAACCACAAAGAAGCAGAGAAAGAGAAAGCGGAGGACGGACGGACGTTAGTGGTAGGCACGAGGACTGCCCACAAGCCGGGCAAGTGGACAAATGACGCCTGACCTCCTGGGCTGGATGCGTCCAGGTCTTCCGTGTCGGTGACGTCTCCCCCAGAATCGAGCTCCAGCCCACTCAGGCTCCTGGACAGGTCTCCCTGGGGCGCAATGAGGAACTCCCCTTCGTCCGTGAGGTTCCCAGAGTCGTCTTCGGTAAAGAACGTCCGCAGCAGCTTCTCCGCATCTGTGCCGCCCGTCACTGAGTAGGGGGCCTCCCTGCTTTTCGTGAAGCGTTTCTTTCCCCCACCGATGTCACTCTTAAGCTTCTTGGGCTCCCGAAGGGCAGCTTTCATGTGAGTGGCCAGGTTGACAAACTCACTCTCTGATGCGATGCCTTCCTGGACCTTCGGCATGGCAGAGGAGCTTGGCTGGGACTGAGATCGCTGTCTGCGGTGCTTACGGTCAGTCTTAGGACCCAGCTGCGAGGCTAACAAAGGGTCGTTGCAAAGGATGGTTTCTTCGTCAGTCTCCCACGAATCTTGCGCCTCGCAGCTGTTTACGCGCATCTCCTCAACAAACCTCTTCACTTTTACCGTCGCCTCCTGGGTTCCTTCTTCATGCATCGGCTCTTCCTCTGCGTTCCCGAGCTCTTCCACATCCGTGTGACTCTCGTCTTCCGACGCTTCTTTCGCGGGCACACATAGCTTCTGGTCATCTAGTTCTTGGTCGCTCATATTTTCCTGATCTGTCTTGTCGTCGTCCTCGTAATTACCTGGGCTGAGCTGCTCTACCATTTCGGGAAGGTGCTGGAGATGGTACAAATCGAGTCCTCCTGGAGCCATTTTTCTACATCCATCTGGGCTCTGCACCTTGTGTGGCGATGTTGAGTCGTCCACCACTTCTTCCAAGGTTTTAAAAATGTTTGTGCAGCTGGGGTTATTGTTGTTCTCAGTGGCTTCAGTGTTTTCGCTTGTTTTTCCAGC